CCTTGGCGCGTCTCGTCAACGACACTCTTAACGCGTTCCCATCTTCTTCGCTTTTTGTAATACGTTCCTCGCTTTGTGGACTTCATCGTTGCAAGGACATCTTCAGATATTACTTCTGGTTCATCATAGGATGGGTCATCCTCGGGATGGAGTAGTGAAAGCCATGATAATGATTTAAGGTGCTTGTACAGCGGATGCGAAACAGTGGGTGCGCCATAATCGTAGCCGAAATACTTGAGATAGGAGAGGTTTGGTTGATTGTTAGGATGCAGGACGGTGAGGGTATTAGTACGCGCAGACATTTGGGGAATATGGGGCCGCGGTGGCTTCCTTGGCTTTGGAGGAGGTTCTGAAGGGGCTGCAGTTGTCGAAGGGTCAGTAGCGTTTGTAGGATTTGATGTGGAGGTAGCCTCTCCATCAGCATCAGGCATAGCGATGTCCTCATCTTTGGGTTGTGGGGCATCCGTTGTTGCTGCGGTCCCATTTTCGGCCCCTTCTGGAGTTGCAACGTCCTCTTCTGAGTCAGATTCGTCGTTCTCGTCGTCGGGATACAGGATTCCCATTTTCTCAGCAAGTGATGCGGTGAGCAAGCCTCCGGTATCGTCCACGACAAGCCATCGCCCTCCTCCTATCTGACTGACACCGTCTTCGCCAATGATAATCTGGTTCGTTTCTCCAGAGTGGACATTGGCCCAGCTGTTGATCAAACCCAGTAGGTCTTCCCTCAGCTCCATGATTTTGTACGCTTCCTTCTCCAAAACGTACTCAGTAAGCAGACCGACATCCATGGGCAAGGCAGTAAAGCGCTTCATGTACTTTCTTGATTTTCGCAGCGTGTACTTGGCCAAAGAGAAGCTCGTCTTCTCGTCAATGGCATTGTGAGAGGCCATGATCTTGGCAATAATTTCTTTACCAGACCCGGTACCAGCTTTCTTCAGCTCCTCAATTTCAGCCATGGACAATTGCTGGCGTGAAGCATCGTCAATTGTTAAGCGATTATTGCGCATTATGACCTGACCATCTTCTCCCACAATATCGAAGCCCGCACCAGCCTCGGCTACATCGTCACCAGCGTCAGCGCTGGGCGCATGGTCACTGCCGAGAGCTTCAGCATGGAGTTCAGAGGCAGGAACAACGCGCAGTTCAGTCTGAGTTTTGCCGTCGTCTTTGTCGAGGAGCTCATAGGTAAGATAGTAGGGCCGTCCGAGGATGAGGTTCGAGTTGAAGGTGCCGAATTTTCCAAGATTTATGGTACTTCATTATGTTAGTATAGTCTTCACATGCACATGCACTCGGAGGGCTCACTCCAGCTATGCGACGTACGTATTCGGGGTGGTCTCGACAATCTTGAAGAGGCCCGACGGGAGCCGCAGAGCCACGTGCGTATTGGGGCGAATGTAGGAATGCATGGTGGCGCGTGATTGTGCCCAGTGAAAGATAAGTCTATTCCATATGCGACTGTGTTTTAGACGAGTGGCATTGATTTGGCGCACTCTGATATGTGGCGGCGACGGGCGCAAAGAAGAAGTTCTGGAATTAGTGGATTGGGTGCAGGGATCCGGGCCGGAGGAGCCACATGTGCACAGCCACACTCGGGCGCATCAGCCACCCGCTTCACGTCATCGCCTCCGCTTGGTTCGCGACTTGGGGACTTGACTGTTGAGGCCGCGTATGCCACTCGGCTCTGGTCTTCTGTCTGATTATATTCACCGCTGGCCCTAACCACCGCCGACCATCGCTACCTCGCTCATCTCCGCCTCCTCCCTTCTATCCAACTAACAACCGCACTCTAAGCTTCACTCGCGCGCATCGGCTTGTCGAGAGCTGTGCCGAACCACACCACCACTCATCAGGCTCTCTATCACCAACCATGGTGCTCCGGAAGCCTGATGAGCAGGATGGCCTCGTGCCAGCGCCTCTCTCCAAGGCAAACCCTCCATATCCAACCACTCCCTCGGAAGAGTACGCCCCTATACTTCCCTCGACTCCCGATAACAGCATACGCCCGCCAAGCGCATCCAAGTCGTCAGCCTTCAACATCAAGACACCGCAAGACGCCCACCCGCCTAAAAATGGACATGAATCAGACTCAGACCTCAGCGACGACGAGTGGAATCAGACTGACGATGAATTCGAGGAAGTCGATCACCAGCAGGTGCCCGCTGCCCTGAAACCCGCAGGCGGCAAGATACCGCCTGTGCCCAAGACAACTAATGTCACCAACGACCTTCCCAACGCGTTAAGGGTAGGCCCGCCCACCGGTATACCCATCAAGAGATCGAACGAAAGCATGTCGTATGTGCCCACTGGTGGCAATGCTGCATCATACGGCGGTAGTGCTGCTTCGTATGGCGCCAGGAGCAACGTATCGGAGCAGTCAAACGGTTCCATCCCGCTTCAGACCAACAACCCCTACCTGAAAATGCAGACAACTGGTCAGAGCAACCTAGGTGCAGAAAGCAGCGAAGCTATCTGGGGAGACTCTGTGAGCAATGCCTACAAGTACGATGCGCCAGTCGAGCTGCCAACCCACCAAACACCAAGCACGCCTTCCCATGAGATGCGCAACCTTGCCTTGGATGATCGCGCCCCATCCGTACACCCTGCTCCTCCCGCGTATGAGCCACCGGCCATTGCAGTCAACTCGCCTACTCCACAATCCGAGCACACTGCTACCCTGATTGACACAAATCCTTGGGAGTCTGCGCCTGCCCAAGGACACTCTCAACATACCCCCTGGACTGTCCCAGCAGCCAGTGCCAGCAGCAGCAACGTAGCTTCCAGCGCGGCACCCGCCCCAAATGCCCCAGAGAACATCCCTTCTATGCAACAGACGCCGCCACAACCACAGTACACTCCTGAACCAACGCCCCCGACCTCTGAAGAGAACCCGCCAGCACTGCCGCCAAGGGTATCTCACGAAGATTTGACACCTGCTATGCCTCCAAGACCTATCGACACTGAGATAGGCTCGAGTGTAGCGCCTGGGTTAGAGTCGCCTAACACTGCGATGAACCGACAAAGGAAAGAGCACTACCAAATCAAGCATGTGCGCTGGTTCGACAATAGCATCAAGGATATGCGTGTTTCACCTATCCTTACGCAAAACTTGAATGGACCATGCCCACTACTCGCCCTCGTGAACGCGCTTGTTCTCTCCACTCCCGCAAACGTCGAAACTGCGTTGGTCGAAACCTTGCGCACGCGCGAAACAGTCAGTCTAGGGCTGTTGCTAGATGCTGTGTTTGAGGAGCTCATGTCTGGGCGACGTGGTGATGCTGCACAAGAACTGCCAGATGTAAGCGAGCTGTACAAGTTCCTCCTCGCATTACACACTGGTCTCAATGTCAACCCCATGTTCGTCCCTGACCCCAATTCAGCCGCCAGTCATGCCACACTTACGAACCGAGCTGGTGCGTTTGAGGATACGCGGGACATGAAGTTATATCGGACCTTTAACATCCCCCTGATGCATGGATGGTTACCAGAAGCCGGCACGGATGCCTTCGTCGCCTTCAATCGTGTAGCTCCTTCTTACGAAGCGTCCCAGTTGGTTCAGTTCCAGGAAGAGGAGCTGAACATGAAACTGAATGCAGGCGACTCTTTGAATGAAGAAGAACAACAGATGTTTACGGATATTCATGCCATCAAGGAGTTCCTAAATAGGTGGCCGACTCAGCTGACTGACCATGGTCTCAAGGTCATTCGGGACAATCTACAGCCCGGCCAGGTTGCAATTCTTTTCCGGAATGACCATTTTTCTACGCTTTGCAAGAACCCCCGCAACGGTCAGCTCGTCACTCTCGTTACCGATCAGGGCTACGCATCTCACGACGAGATTGTTTGGGAGTCTCTTATGGACGTCAACGGTCAGGGAAGTCAGCTTTTCTCTGGTGACTTCCGCTCAGTCGACAACAGCAATCCATCCTCGGGACAGCATGGTCAACAGCCTGGGAATCTCATTGATGTTGAAGATAATCAGGGATGGACTACAGTACAAGGCCGTCGAGGCAATCAGCAGCAGTCAGCCGCTTCTGGGGGTGATGCACAGGATACGGAATTGACATCACCCACTGGCCTCAGTAGAGCTGAGCAAGAGGACCATGACCTTGCGCTAGCACTACAGCTGCAAGAAGAAGAGGAGGACCGCCAAAGACGCGAGACTGAGGAGCGTGCACGCAACAACCAGGTACCACAACCTGGTGGCGTCCGTCCTCCCTCTCGACCTGAACAACCTCCAGTCATACCCCCGCGTCGCAACAACATCACTGGACACCGCCCTGCTGCCGAACCTGCTCCACCTCCAACGTATGAGGAAGCATCTGGAGCACCACGCTACAACCCACCAGCAGGCCACCCTGCCAACCCCGGAGCCCCGATACCTCAGCACGGCAGCGCATATCAGAGCACAAGCGGTATCCGCCCTAACGCAGGACGCCCCATAGCTTCACCAAACATGGGTCCTGGTAGGCCTGGAAGAAGACCGAGTGCCGGTACGAATGGCCAGGCCGGTCCAAACGGAAACGGGGAAAGGGAAAAGTGCATTGTCATGTAGATGCCTCAAATCTGTCTTGCGGAAAGCTTTCTTTGTTACTTGATACTGACATGATTTTCATGGATGCTTTTTAGGGATCGCTCCGACGCCCCTTGTTGTGATTGCAATGTCTGTTAGATTTGGTAAACTAGGCGTTTTTGGTCATGTGGAGGAGAATTGGCTATTATTATACCCGGTGTTTTTGTGGAAAGTGAGATTGTTGTCTGGTCAGAGTACATAGGGACTAATTAGTATGTGGAAATTGAGATGCAAGTGTACTATCATGTTCGTCCTTCGTCTTATCATCGTTTTTTTTTGTGCTATTCATCTCATACCTTCAACCCTATTCCTACAAAAAAGCCATCAGATGATTGATCTGATACCCTATTGCTCAAAAGAAACCCACACCCGTACATAACCTCAAGTCTTCCAGTCTCAAAGAAACAATCCCATCATCCCTCAACCCCTACATGAACCGCTCAGCCTGCCTCATCTTCTCCCTACTCTCCATCCTCGCCAACTCCCTAACCCACTTATCCTGCTCCTCGCGACTCTGCCTCGACACCCGGCAATCAAGACCACTCACACTACCACAACGCTGCTCCTCCTCCCCATCTCCCCGCGGCGTAACCCCCTCCCTCTCCACCAACACCGCAGTCTCACACTTCCAACTCGCGCTACTCGCGCTACTCGCCATGCTGCTCCTCGCCTCAGCACGCGTAGTGTGCGTTGTACTGGGTAGGGGGCGCAGAGCGGGATGCACATCGGTATCGTATGTCAGCGTGCCTGTGAGACGGAGTTCAGTGCGTTTGCGTTCCATGTTCTTGAGTTCGTCGGCCCAGTCGGTGAGGTCTTGGAGGGTGGGGGCGTGGCGGCGGGAGGTGCGGAGGGAGGGGGTGAGGGTGGGGGGTATAGTTGTTGTGATGAAGGGGGGGCGGAGACGGGGGCGGGTGGAAGTGCATGGTGGGATGCTGTTGTGGTTGCGGAAGGGGAGGTCAGAGGGGGGTTGGGTGGGGGTGGGAGTGCTGGTTGACCTGTAGCCTGGTGTGCGAGTGCAGTGCTGTGAGTCTTCGATGATGGATGCGTCCGGCGAGATATCACGGAGGATGAGGTTTCGGGTTGCGGTGTTCTCGATTAGGGACACGCAACTACTGCTTGCGCTACGGAGGCTGCGTACGAAGTTCTCGTAGTCGTATCCCTCGTCGTCGCTGCTATCCTCGTCCCCAGCTTCGGCACGACACTTGACAATGTACTCTGCGTCTTCGACTATCTTGACTGCCCACGCGCAGTGCACTGCTTCCTCGGTGAGTCGAGTTTCTCGGCTCTGGCGCTTCTCACGATTCATACGCAGGAGATTGCGTTGTGCGTCAAGTGTAGTACTGATTTCCCCTGTATGTTCATTGAAACTGAGCCATGAATCGACATCTTCTAGTTTTTCAACCGTCTCGATGCTGTAATGTCGGAGATGTAAAGCTTCATCATCGGCGAGCTCCTCTATCTTATCCGGCAAAGTCGGGTCGGTATGCAACGAGAGGTCCAGCTGGCACGAGTCGAGAACGTATTGCGAGGCTTGCAGTTCGTCTTTGGGCTTGACCATGGATGGGTGGATGACATCGTGTTGGCCGTCGGAAGATAGGCGGAGGGCGTGTCGATTGGCGCAGAGATGGAGAGCCATCTTCTTCACGTCTCTACGTACTTCATCGTAGGCCGCTTTGGCATCGGGGTCGTTGGGTGGGTCTGATGCCCAGAGTCCGAGTGGTACGGCAGTGATGGGCGTTGATGTGACAGAAGCTACACTCGCGGGTGTCTTGGGCGAGAGAGATGCCCATACACCTCCCTCAGCAAAGGCATTCTTGGTCGGGCCTGAAGTGGCAGATAGTGGGGTTGGGGGACCAGAAGCCACGATATCCCACCGAGGTCGCACACTTGCTGAAGAAGATGTGACGATGCGCGGGAGGTGTGCTGGGCGTAATGGGTGCGGACCCGTCGGTGAGGTTAGTGACGAAGAGCTGAAGCGTAGTGGCCGACGGATGCCTTTTGCGGTGGTCAACTGTGTAGGCTGCATTGGTGGATGCCACCCAAATACGATAACGTTGTCTTCTTTTGCAACCCGCTCAATCTGGCGTACAACTTCCCTCCACTTAGCTTCCGTAAACCGCTCTTTACACCAATAGATAACCTGTTCCCAGAAGGCCGGGTGCTGCTCTATTTCGAGACTCTTCAAGCCCCATTTCTCGTGTTTGCTCAGCTCTTTGCCTGTAAGTGGGGATGTCTGTTTCTTGTTCTTCTCTTTGTCCACGTGATCTTTCACGGAGTCTTCGGTAGGGGTTTGGACGGGGGCTTCGACGGGGGTTTCGACGAGGACTGTCACGGAGTCTCCCACAGGGTCATCCATGGCGGCTGCCATACGGATCTTGATAAGGCCTTCTACTGAAGGAGGAAAGAAGACTTGTCGGAGGTTTTCAGAATAGCAGTTGTGATCGGTCTGTCTGCCTGCCACAGTTGTAGGAAAAGATCTCCGACAGAAGCCCTACCTATATAGTTGCCAAGAACGGGTGTGAAAGTGAAAGCTGATCAGTGAGCGAGTTATACAACGTAAGGTCAAGTCGCGCGCAATCATTGTTCAGGATTTGCGCGTTGTGTCAGGGTCTCGGCATTGTGCAAACCTGCAAACGCGCAACTCGAGGTGAAGCGCCAGCCAGAAGAGAAACAGTGGGAGAAGCAAGCAAAAATGAAACGAGACATGGCTTTAGTATTATGTAGCAAGCCTTTTCCAAATGGTATCCAACTCCACTCATGCAAAGCAAGACCTATTCTAAGAATGTAAAAAGATTTGTATGTACAACATTAAGGGCGCGGTCGGCTTCGCGCTCCTCAATGACGCAAGATATGTTAATCTCGCTAGCGCCTGCAATGAGTTAGCAGGTGGTCTCCTTAAATATAGTGAAGCTTCAACATACCCTGCGAGATCATTTCAATGTTAATGTTGTTCTGGCCCAACACGCTAAAGAACTTGCCGGAGATACCAATCATGTTCTTCAGCTGCTTGCCCACTAAACTTACAATAGCCATGTCAGGCACGATATCAATGGTACCGAGAGCACCAAGGTCATTTACAGCGCCTTGGAGGTCCTTGGACTGGATCTTGTAGTCGTCCTCACCTCCGCCACTTAGGAGAGCAGACTCGGAGTGCAAGGCCATGGACACGTGCACCTCGGATGAAGAGATGAGATCAACAGACAATCGCCAGTTGTCCAAGATGTTGAAGATGTTCATCAAGAAACCATGGGCACGAGTGCGCTTGTTGCTGTGAACGTTGAGCACAACAATGTTGTGCTTGATCGTCACAGCGGTGGGTCGCTTAGGCCCTTCAAGCTGAGTAAGGAGACTCGAGGAGCGAGTGCGGAAGAGTCCCGTATCCTTCAAAGGCGAGCGGTCGTCAATATCCCGGAGATTGTCAGGGAAGATGATGGTTCCAGTATTGCGTGGGTTCATGACATTCTTGATGCGAATGGGGATGCGGGCGCGAATGACCTGCTCCATGGTGAAGGGGTGAATAACTTCGGATCCGTAGAATGTCAATTCAGCAGCCTCTGCAGGAGTGACACTGGGGAGCAGCGCGGCAGTAGGAACCTTGCGTGGGTCTGCGGTGAAGATTCCATCCACCTCTTTCCAGACTTGCAGTTCCTTTGCCTTTATGCCAACGGCAACCAAGGCGGCGCATAGGTCGGTATATCCGCGTCCGATTGAGGTCAAGAGACCGCCGGGCACGTTTCCAAAGAAACCAGTAATGACGGGAACCTTGTCTCCACATGCTTCCACTTGGCTAGCGAAGTCGGCAGCCAAGTCCTTGTAGAACTTTTCTTGCAATCCTCCCTTAATGGGCGCGTTGGGCTTGATCACGTCGCTCAGGTCGACGAACTGGGCAGGCGTACCACAGTCGTTCAGTATAGCGGCCATATAACGACAGCTCAGCTTCTCGCCCTTGCTGATGATCTTGTCCTCGGTGTGGTTGGTGACCTCCTCGAGATGCTGGGCCGACTCCAAGATCTTGATCAAACTCTCGCACTCGGCGTTGACCTCTTCGGTATAAGACGCCAGAATTTCCGGGCTCTTCAAAATCTCCTTGCCCGCCTGGATATGGTCAAGGCGAATGGCTTCGACGATTTCATCATAGGCCCGGTGGTTGGGTCTCTCGGCAGCGCGAGCGGCACGAAGGAGGCGGTTGGTAGTTCCTTCGAGCTTTGTGTTGCTGCTGCGCGCAGAGCAGACTATAGCGGCGCGATTCGTCTGAACACCGGCTCTGTGGAGGGTTAGTGCTTTGTGCTCGTCTTGCGCATTTGAATGGGCGTCGTACTTGACAATGTCCGCTATATTCTCCGGGAACTTGCCGACGCTTGTACCACCGAACTTGAGAACCACCCATCCTCCAGGAAGATGCTTCTCTTCGGTGTGAGCTATCCGCTCCGACTGGTGGGTGTGTCCGTTTGTGTATGCTGACATTTTTGAAAAGGTGGCTTCTCGAGTTGGGCTCTAGTCAATTGCGCGTGCAGATTTTTTCTGGGGAGTATATAGGTGGCGAAGGTGTCTTGGGACGAATGTGTTGAAGAGCGGATGACGTGTGTCGTGCGAAGTATGGGGTTGTGAGGATTGAGCGAATTCTCGAGTGCTTTTAGCGGGGAGCCCTGAGTCAAAAGTTCGCGCGCCCGCAATCGGCGCTGTAGACACTGCAGGGGATGCAGACGCCGCGCGACGCCAGCGAATCCTCCGGGCTAGGTTCACGCCGCTGACACAACTGCGCCGGTTTAATAAAACAAAAAGAAAATGATGCAGGGACGGGTCGGTGCATGCACGCCAGCTGAGTGTTGATCCGAACCATCGGCAGTTCTATCGCCAACTGTTCACGTGCTCGAGCATGTCCGCTGTTTTTCCCTTCTCCCTCTCTTCACCGCTGCGACTCTTCGACGGCTCCACTTGATTCTGCGGAGACACCATGTGGCTGTTGAGGAACCCGATGGTATGCTGTAGGCGCTGTGACACCGGGGCTTATCAGATGTAGTCAGACTATGAAGTGTCCGTTGCATGACTAAAGCATGCACGTCCGCGCTTGAGTTGCCATGTACTAAGCCGAGTGGTTCTCCTGGATTCCGGACAGTCATGCAAAAACAAGGCGGCATATTTGAGCCATATTGTGGAGTGTACAAATTTGGATAAATCCCGCAGCCAGCATTTTTAATCTTCAATCGTGAGTGAGCCACGTAACATGCTACTAACACACGAAACCACCAGATTCTACAAAAGCATATGAATGCGGGGATCTATAGCTACACATACATTTCGTTGGAGGCCTAACTCTTATACATTTATCTCTTACCGCGTTTCTTCGTTTTCCTATTGCAATCCACATTATACTGGTTGGATTTTATCTTGTCGGATCTGATCTCGCAACCACAAGTATGAGACGAGAGCATTGGGCTTGGGCAGCTGCCCGCTCAGGGTAGAAGTATGCTGTTAAAAACTAATCAGAAGAATGATAAGCTGCATGAGATGGGGGTTAAGCACGAGAAATCAGCCTTGTGCATTAAACCTGATTCGTACTTTCAAAATCTCATACAGATTTGCATCTACAATTACAATCTCATGTCTCATGTCTCATGTCTCATATATTTCGGCTTTGCCATTGGGTATCATCATTACTCTGAAATCAAAATTCCGCCTGCATTAATACCTATGTGAGACTCATAATTGTCGTCTTTGACCGTCGCATGGCAGGTCCATCTCACGGAGATAAACACCAAGCACCACCTTGCGGCACTGTTTCTTGAAAGATTGCACATGAAGCACGTCATTCAAGGCCCTCGAAAGTTACTTAAGAGGCACAGCAGTGAGAGATAGGGTTTGAGTGTGATCTCTTTCCTGTCAGTGCCTCAAGCGGAAGTTCTTTGTTCTGGACCCACTGGATAACTCAAAGTCAGTTTTTTGCATTATAGCCCTGACATGCTCCTTGAAGAAAGGTAAACTTACGTGCTCAGCAATGCATCCACCATCCATACGGAACCCCTCAACAACCTCTCTGAACTGCGTTTTATACTTCACCCAGCCCTGGGGATACTGAAAAGTCGCGCCCAGCGGCGTGATGCTTGAAGGGTCCCAAGTGAGCGACAAAGCATCCCATCCAGTATCAAATCCATTTGGCACTGAAATACCGTGGTTCTGTCGTTGCAGCCCGAGGTTAGCGCACTTGATAGATTCCTTCGCCCGGAACGAAGCATGCTTACAGCATAGTCCTGGGTAACATATGAAAACGCCTTAGTGATATCAGACTTATAGATCAAAGCCTGCACGAAAGCATCGAAGCGATCCTTGTTCTGCTCTTTCGTGGTGCTGGGGTCGCGCACACATGGCGCTGGCTTAGCAGGAGTTACCCGAGGCTCCACCAATACATCGGCTCTGGCGTGCAGACCGGTTGGTGCTGCAATCACAGAGACAGACGTAGCGATCGTCGAGGCGAGCAATGCAAAGCGCATCGTAGAAATCAGCTTAGAGTTTCTCAATCTGTCAGTGTTCCGGGGTGGATGTTTGTGTGTCACTTCAGGCAAGTTGGTGTAGATTTATAGGTGTCTTTGCCCCCTCTTTTGGCGTCACGCTCACAGCTGAACTTCGGCCATATTATCTGCATTACCCCAGGATTTCTCGTCTGCCGCTCAATTGCCTACCTCCTTTCCTACGCCACCAAGAATGCAGGGGTCGCTGCAGATTTCGCAGTGTTCGGCCAAAGGCGTAATAAACGCCATAGTACAATTGAAATGTAATTTTTTAGCCAAATACTGTAATCCAGCACCTCTTTCATCACTGAATGATCTCTGAATCGGCCAGAGGTTGGCTGGGTATGTAGCTTTGTTGTCACATAATGCTGAATTTGGTGTAGTGCTAGTCGCCCTATCCTTGTCAGCCTGGAGCTGTTCTGTAATCATCACCAAGGTAAAATTTGAATTCATATCTTGGTACCATTGACATCAGAAAGATCAGCGCTAGGCGTTAGTGTTGTTCTATCTTGGTTGGTGGTCACTTGGCCTGAGGCCTCACCGGCTTTACTCCGGGGGCCCTCCACACTTATGGGAACGATTAGCGAATTTTGCGGGGAAACGAATGCTACTAGGTTTCTCCCTAGATTCGGCAGTTTAAAGGGTCAAAATCGGATGCAGAGTCCAAAATCTCGTGGAAATTCATTGGGTCGGCCCGTTGGTCGGTCGCAGTCATCGAGCCTTGCACTGTGGCTTAACAGCAGGGGCGTGAGTTTCCTTGGGAGAGCGAACAATATCAGCAAGCGCTATTCGCAGAGATGGTAGTAGTCCGCATATCTGTTTCTATATAGAGAAGAGCGGCCGAAGGTCGTTGTACTTGAACAATCTCTATTACGCTCAGCCTTCTTGTATTGACGCTTCTCGATGTCCACAATATGACTTGTAGCAGGAACTCAGCCAATGACCTTTTACTGCCCTGATTGCTGCGTATTTTCAAGAACGCAGCATTGCTTCACGTCTCGCACATCACTGGTCCCGGCCGGTAAGATGAAGTAAAGGTCGCTTAAAACCGGTCGTTGTTAGCTTTCCTTTGGTCCTTCGGCAGTTGCATTGCATCAGAAAATTGATAGCATGCGTTTCGGTAATTGCCATGTGATGCATGTTGCACCAAGTCGGCGCTGGGACGGTTCGGCAATTGTGTGAGATGTCAGCTTTTGCACAACGGCCGGTTGTTTATTTACATGCGATCACGTGCCTCGAGTCACGCCCAGTAGCATAAAAATACAAAGACAGCAGCATGATTTGCTGCATTCGCGTTTTCACTTGGTTTCATGGGACTAAACAAGATATGAAGTTCTTTTATTCCCTTATTGAATATTTTCTTAGACATGCAGCGTGTAGTGTCTTTCTGTCACTTAACTATCATTGCATACGTATCCAGAACTCCATATTCAGCCTCACTTGAACATTATACTTTAAATTTCCGCCTTGTATGCATTGTTTCCATGATCGTGTGTTGTGCAATCGCGACAGACTGAAGACAGATGTGAGACCTCGGCTATGTCATCAGTTCGCAAAATGATCAACAGCGACGGTCAACAATCAAAAGGATCGAATATCCATGCTTCCATAAGACATTGATCGGAAACTATATCGAACAAACTTCTGACTACAGCGACAATCGAGTATATATAAACACACATTATACACCGCAGTCAGCAGCCTCACTGTCGTGTGCCTTATCCTTTAGCAAGATAAGCAATGTGCACGATCACGTGCATCGTCTCGTAGTCTCTCTTGTTATAGTTTCAGATGGGTCTTAGTATTGGTTAAAATGATTAACTTGCTACCTACCTAGGAACAATATACGATCTTCCATTGTTCTTTTCGCGCATAATGATTGTGTTTGCGGCTGATGAAGATCACAGGAACTCAAGGATCAGAGCACACTGAATAGAAGCACGACTATCATAACCACTCGTATGCCATACCTTTCTACTTTCCTGTTTAGTTCAAATACCTTATATCTAGCCGCGAGAGATCATTGGCCACCTTATACGTACGCTCATCCCGCGTGGCCTCGACGCAAAACGCTTGATTGGTCCATTCTCCGCTTAGCAGAATCTACCAAAAGATATCTTACAATCTTCACAAAGCAACCAAATCCTCCGTTGTTGACTGTTTTCGGACGATTGCAGCGATGGACGGACTATCTCGACTAATGGTTGACGTCATTAACCCGCCGCTAAGCCGTATTTGGCACACTACGAAACCTTCCGGAGCCGAAACACAGAGCGTATAGGTAGGCGATAGCTTCACGTGTCCAGAGTGGAAGATATTCGTTTTTTTTTATCATACTTACGATCCACTCACTCACGTCGAAGCGACCGCAAGCGTCTGGTCTAGTAGAACAAGTTGCCCGCCATGAACTACATATCAAGTACATAGCTTCCGAACCGTATCCAATCCCAATTCAACTAAAACAAGTAATAGATCTCGTCAACTCGGATGCAGTCATCAATCCCCTCCTGGACAATGGCTACCTCCCACATGCGGTGATCCGCGTAGGAATCAGGCGCCAGCTAGCCGATCGCCTACAATCGATAGCTACCACGTCCTTGGAGTCCGCTTACGAGACCAAGATGAAGTACGTCAAGCTTCTTCGGGAAAGGCCAATTGCAATTGCGACTGCGACGGCAAACGAGCAGCACTATGAAGTAGGGACGAGTGTTCTTAAGGGCATGCTGGGCCCGCGGATGAAGTATTCGGCCTGCTTGTATGAGAAGGGCGGGGAGACGCTGGCCCAAGCCGAGATTGCCATGATGCGATTGTATATCGAGAGGGCAGAATTAAAGGATGGAATGAGCATTTTGGACCTTGGGTGAGTTCTTATTTCCTCTCTGATTTTGCATTTGCTGCACCTATAGCATAATGATCACGTGTATCGAAGCCAAATAAGCAATATGTTGAACGGAAGATGGTTAACAAGGGCTATAGATGTGGCTGGGGCTCAGCATCTCTCTTCATGGCGGAAATGTTTCCCAACTCCAAAATCACCGGCTTCTCAAACTCAAGAACACAAAAAGAGTACATTGACAGCGTTGCCGTATCAAAAGGACTCAAGAACCTTACCATTATCACGGGCGATGTGGTCGACTATGAGTTCCAGCCTGAAGCGTACGACCGCGTTATCTCCATTGAGCTCTTCGAGCACATGAAGAATTACCAGCTTCTGCTGCGCAAAGTAGGATCTGCGCTGAAACCCGGTGGCAAGCTATTTGTTCACATCTTTGCGCACTGCACGACTCCGTATGATTTCGAAGAAGGATGGATGACGGAGCATTTCTTTACAGGCGGTACCATGCCTTCGGCTGATTTACTGCTGTACTTCCAAGACGACTTGAGAGTCAAGAACCAGTGGTGGGTTTCCGGTATGCACTACTCAAAGACGTGTGAGGATTGGCTGGTTACCATGTTAAAGAACAAGGAGAGTATCTGGAAGGGACTAGTGGAGACGTACGGAGAGGAGGGTGCGTTGACTTGGTGGAATAGGTGGCAGGTTTTCCACATGGCTTGCTCCGAGTTGTTCAGGTGGAATGGGGGTGATACATGGGGTGTCAGCCACTATCTCTTTGAGAAGCCTACTGCATAGACTGCAAAAGCTGGTGGGAGTTGTTGAAGGCGAGTGCAGACTCGCATAATGTCTAAGAACCAACCCGTAAATATCACACTGAATTTCATGAAATCGTAACATAGCGAATCAACAATAGCGAATCAATAAGACTGCATCTGACGCGATTGCTCTATTTTGCATTGATCCGAACTTCTTGGCGCTGTCCACATGGGACGTTGCAGCCACTGGCCGTGGTGTCTATGTCGAGCACTCCATTGTCTGTGCAATTGAGCTTGCCTCGTGTGAATATCTTCTAAGCTCTCTCTCCACGCCCAACGCCCCTGCATTCGTTATTCAATGGTCCCACGGGTGCTTCCAGCCCAAAAGCGCGGGGCCGTCCTTCTTCGCGCGGTACATCAACTGCGCCTGTCAGCACCTGTCTCGCTCCTACCAGATCTCTAACATACGAAGAACCACATTGACGCGCCGAGACCCGTTGCCATGAATCGGTATAGCGGCCTGACCGGGTGGATGTGGATGGGGTGGTTTGGGTGCGGCGGATATTTGGGCGGGCCCATGCGGGAGCGTGTGGGTTGCATCGTCTCTGGTGAGCCTGTGTAAATATCAGTACTGGCGCCAGTTTTGGGGAGTGCTACACTGCGCCTACCTGCGGTGTCTGGGGTGCAATGGCTCTGTGACGCTTTTGGTGGGTGAGGTGTGATTAAGGTCGATTGCGGACTACGCTAACACTGCGGTGCCAAGATCGCCCCATCAACCGTCAATCGCGGCTTCTGCTCCTTCACCCGCGACAATCCTGACCACAATCGTCATCTCTACCCAGCAGCTTTGGCCTCGAGCCCCCCGCCCATGCCAACGCCCACCATCGCGACCACACACTCAGCGCTGCAAAAGATACCGACCGATACATCGCGCTCACCCTCGCTGCATACGTTAACGCCGCGGCCCACTTAGCCCGAGTTAGGAAGCGTGCCTGCGGACCCTTGAGGATCACGTATTGTTAACACCACCGCCGGTATGGCGACTCCGGCGGGTGCCCCCCCGTCGCGCACCCTCCAGCGCCAATTCAAGGGATGCTGCAAGATTGGCGAGTACGAGATGATGCAGAAACTGGGCGAAGGTACTTTTGGTGAAGTTCACAAGGCGCGTCAGCGATCGACCGGTCATGTCTTTGCGCTCAAGAAGATTTTGATGCACAACGAGAAGGACGGATTCCCTATCACGGCGCTGCGAGAAATCAAGCTCCTCAAGATGCTGTCGCACGATAACGTCCTGAAGCTAGAGGAAATGGCTGTAGAACGGCCCAAAACCGAAGGCAGGAAACGTGCAATACTGTACATGGTCACGCCGTACATGGACCACGATCTGTCAGGTCTCCTCGACAACCCCGAAGTCCAGTTCAAACCGCCGCAGATCAAGTGTTACATGCTGCAGTTGTTCAAGGGTCTAGCATACCTACATGACAACCATATTTTACATCGAGACATGAAGGCAGCCAACCTTTTGATCAACAACTCTGGGCGACTACAGATAGCCGATTTCGGTCTTGCCAGACACTACGACGAACCGGTTCCACAAAGAGGCAGGGGCAATGGCGAGGCGAAACGCGAATACACTTCACTAGTTGTCACTAGGTGGTACCGACCGCCAGAACTGCTCTTGCAACTCCGAAAATACACACCGGCGATCGATATGTGGGGCGCAGGCTGCGTCTTTGGTGAAATGTTCAAGCGCAAGCCCATCCTTACAGGCCAAAGCGACATACATCAGGCACAGATCATCTTCGAGCTGGTTGGGTCTCCGAACGATACGAGCATGCCGGGCTGGAACGAGCTACCAGGAGCGGAACCTGTTCGCGCGTTCCCAACAAGTACAGGAAACATTGCGCAAAGATTCCGTGAACTATCGCCCCTTGGACTCTCGCTTATCAAGGACCTTATGAGACTGGACTGGCGGAAACGTATCAACGCGATTGATGCCATCGACCATCCATACTTCCGAGAGGAACCATTACCAATGCGCGAAGAAGATATTCCTCACTTTGCAGACTCACACGAGCTGGATCGCCGAAACGCGCGTGGCCAAAGGCAAGCACTTCCCCCTGCACCACAAGGCGGTACTGTAGGTGGAGGACCCAACGGAGAGTGGACAGGCCAAGGTCCACCACCACAGCCATGGCAAAGCAACGACCGAAGGTACGGCGGACCTCAAGACCGAGGACCGCCAGGCGTTGACCGCGGTCTCAGGGGCGGTGGCGGTGGCGGCTACGACCGACGAGGCTACGAACACCGACCCCCTCCACCCCCTCCCCCAGGAGAACGACGCCCAAACTGGGGCGGCGGCGACCGCGGCCACAACAACCTCCCTGCTCCTCCAGCAGATGGCCGCCACCCGCTCCCTCCCGTTCCCCGCTACGGCCCCGATGGCGCAGACCGCCGTAGAGGCCCCGTTCCCCCCGGTGACACCTACATCCCCAGCTACGGTGGAGACGGACACCGTCGTTCCCGCGAACCAGACGACCGTCCGCGCCGCGGCTCCCGCGATTCTGGCAATTCTCGCGAGGGTTACACCGACGACCGTGCTGATCGTGGCCGCGCGTATCGCGATCGTGACCGCGACCACAGAGGCGGCAATAGAGGAAACTTTGTGCAGGAGAGGAGGGACGGTCGTACGCGGTCAAGGAGTCCTGAGCGCAGAGATGCGAATGGCAGTGGCAACGGAAGGGGAAGGGATGTCTCGGATATTTATAGGAGGAGATGATGATGCTAGTGATCAAAGGTTTGGTCTGGTCTTTTTTCTTTCTTTCTTCTTTTGCATTGTTTGTTCGTGGCGACACCTGACCCCGTTTGTGAAGGTTGGTGGTTGCCCGCTCAAATGGAAAAGCGGATTGCTGATGGTTGACACTCCAAATTTGACGGAAGGAATCGAGGAAGAAACGTAGATCAAACGCGCATTTCTAGTCTTCTCTTTCTTTGTATTTTTAGGTGGATGCGGATGCGGATGTCTTGCTTCTGCGTCTGTGAAGTGCGAAGATGCCAGCAAAGGGGGCGGATAACACAGATTGGGGTCTCTTCTTTTTTTTTCTTTCTATTTTTTTTCTAGTCTTTGCTGCTTTGCTGTGAAAAAAGCGGCTGTGCGACACCTATACACACACACATATTTCGGTGCTACGCGCGTTATAGGTAACCAAAATGGGGCAAAAACCTTTTGTGTCGATCTTTGCATTTTCTGGCGTTTTTTTGCTTCCCTCTCTCATCGACTTTTCTTGCACGCAATAGCAGGCACTTTTATGGGGGGAGAGGGGGTTTTCGTATTCGTTTTTTTTCTTGCTTGAAGAGCGGGAAGTATGATCCACGCTAGCAACATTGTGGTTCTGGCTCGCTTCGTATACAGAGGAATCTTGTTTATCTTGAGTGATTTTTGGGGTTTGATCGTTTGGGATTGATGCGTTGCGGGTGGAGGGGTCGTACGTGGTTGATATTATAGATCAGAATAAGACGCGTGTAGGATAATATTGAATTTGCTTAATGTATATTGTTGCTTTGATGGTTTTGGATACTTGGTTTGCTATGGTCTCGAGTTGAGAGGTGTATCTGCGTTCAATGAGCGTAGCAGATATAGGATTTGGCGACTTCGGATCAGGGTCTTCTTGCTTGCATCCCCCAAAAGGAAGTGCTGGATCCGGCTTTTGTCTGGATTTGCCCGGCAGTGCCTTGGATTCTCGGTCATAGGATCGTTGGCATGGCACCAGATCGCAGATAGCGCGGGGCTGCTTCATGCCGAGATTGTCTTGATGTGCTGCCGGAGTGTAGAACCGCACTTGCGAGTCCACATATGGCTCAAATCCTCTCATGTCATAAGTTTCTTCAACACCCTTCCCAGGTTCTCACTCTGGATCCCAATCCGGACGGCACGTGCACCCCTCACTCCGGACATGCATGACGCCCGTCCGACTAGCCTCAACCAACCACTCCGCCCACTCAATCTCATGCTCAACAATCGTGACATGCTCGCCCGTCTCAACCCTCTCTTCCTTCACCTTGAGCAGGAAATCGCGTAGCTTGAGTGCACACTTGGCCATGGAATTGGCTCCACCGGGCGAGTTACGGCGTTGCTGCTCAGCATACATCATGCGCTCCATGCGAGTTAGCAGTTGCGCTTGGATGTCACTGGACTCCTCGAATCGGGCTACAAGCGCTTTGGCACGGACTTTGAGGCGCAGTGTGTCTTCTCGAGTGGCACGTGTACACGGTAGAACGCGCTGGGGACGCGCGAGATGGAAGGATCCGACGTCACGCAAAACTACGAGATCGTTGAACGACTGGTCTTCGATTGTCGATGTTGAATCACTGGAAGTCGGCCGTGGGGTTTGCTCTGTTCCGTTCCAGTTGATACAGGGGCTGGGTTGCGCAGAGTAGCCAGTGTCTTGGTCCGATGGATGCTGTTCATCAGAATCCCAGTCGCATTCGGTGTCTGGGTAGTCATCTGAGTCGCACATGAAGGTTTCAGAGTAGCTGAAGCCGTAGCCTTCTCGCTTCTTCTTTGGTTTTGCTAGCTGGGGTGCTTGCGAGGTGGACTCTGAATGCCGGCGCGGTTCCTGAGATGGTGATGCCCTGGTTTGAGGTGGATGTGCAGAGACGGACCGGTTTGCGCTGCCAGTCATAGTAAGTCCGGAGAAGCTTTGGGTGAATGCTTCTTCACGGCCTCTGCGGGCTGAAGGCTCATCAGGTGGTACTGAGAATGAAAATCTGAGTTCAACGTTTTGCGGCTTTGCTTGCTGGTTCTCTGGCTTTTGTGCCTGTTTCTGTGTTGATCGCACCACCGCCTGCGACTTTACGGCGGGCGCTGGGTGTTCCATCCATGTTGTCAGAGTGGCATCCACATTTTTCTATGCAAAAAAGTTAACACAACGGCCCATAATCAAAAGCGAGCAATGCGACTCACCGGCCCTCGCCACCTAGTTGGTCGTTTAGGCTTGCCACTCATAAATCGTCGCTCCTGTAGGGTGGCGGTGTCTTTGGATACCGGGAGCGGGATGGGATCAAAACTCCGGCGCGTACTCAGCCGCTTTCTTGTAGGGCCCCTTCCCTTCTACTCTTCTTCAGCTACAAACTCTATCTGGTTCTTAAGAAGACCTACGTTGACGGGCATGTTGAGAGGCTGAGGGGTAATCTCGAAATGATAGCTGACCCAATATCGGTCACAGCAGCGAAAAAGGCGAACTCAATTCCAGTATCAGTGGGTGATTTTAAAGGTTGCTGTTTGTTGATGGGGTGGGGTGTTTGGAGTATATCTAGGCGACTTCAGTAGGCTGCGCGTTGGGGTCGCGTGAAGGCTGACTAGCGCGGTTAGCGCCGAATGAGGCTACCATCCTATCACCGGGGTGAATCTCCGTGTTTTGATACACAAATGCCCCACCAAGTTAGGGTCCGTTCACAACTGGGATACTCGACTACGTGTGGATTCGTGTTGATCACGCTGCCATGGCGACAACAAAATGGTATCATTCTGAGCATTTCGTCACTTTGCTCTTGCTTTAGTTTAAGAAGAGCCCCTCATTGGGCATTCATGCATCACTTCTTGCCGTTCTCCAGAAGCTCCACCCCTGTTCTTACAACACCAATCGCTGCACCAGTCTGGATCGCTTCACTACCACCTCCGCTCAGTCTATACTCAATATCTGCCAGACCTGACATCCATGTCACCATAACTTGTGGTGGCACGTCATTCGCGACCAGCTCTTCGCTAATCGCCGTTAGAATATCTGCGAGCGCCAGTCCCTTCAATGTCTTGAGATTATTTATGGTTCGTAGACACTCTGTCATGTCATTCTTAGACAGCAGTGTTTCGATGATGTACTTGATGTCTGAAGGATGTGGTGCTGCTATACAGTCGTAGATGGTGGTCTGAGTGATTTGGTCACGCACGATTGAACTCGGGTCGACCGCGGGCTTGCCTGGGGGCTGGAGTGGCGTGCTGGAAGCATGGCAGGCTTGCAGCACGTTGAGCGCTCGTCTCATATCTCCCTTGCTCAGAGTGACGAGCGAATCGGTGGCGTCTTGTGTAATGTTGACCTTTTCCTCGTCAATCACCTTGTCGACTAGGTGCCTAATGTCCTGGTCCTTGAGCGGTGAAAATCGAAATCTCGTACAACGCGAGAGCAGGGCGGGCGAGAGTTTGTGTGTGTAGTTTGCAATGATGCAGAAACGTGTGTTTGCCGTGTACTTCTCCATGATTCGTCTCAGTGCCATCTGGGCGGTGGAAGTCATGGCGTCGGCTTCATCGAGAACAATGAGTTTGAAAGTTGCCAGCGAAGAATCTCCTGCTTTGGGTGCGGCAGAGAAGATTTGCTTGGTACTGCTAAATGTTTTGATCTGCTCTCTGACCACTTCGATACCTCTGTCATCTGATGCGTTTAGTTCGAGAACCATTTGCCGCATGTTCTTGTTCCCGTATATACGTCGTGCGAGTGCTAGGACGGTCGAAGTCTTTCCGGTTCCTGGTGGACCATAGAGAAGAAGATGTGGTAATCGCTGCTGGGGTCAGCGAGGAGCCTTTAAGCAGGGCAACGTCCTTACGTTCGAGTCGACAAATTTGTTGATTGTGGCTATGATGTCCTTGTGGCCTTCTACGTCGTCGAGAGACGCTGGTCTGTACTTTTCTACCCTATGCAAGTTTTAGAAAAGGTGCAATAGCGTCACATACAGACACATACCATGGCAATGTGTCTTCAGCTTCTACAGGCAGATTGGCAGCGCTCCGCTTGCCCTTTTTCGAGTCTCCGCCAAAGCTGATGGACTTGTCGACGGGCGCATCAACGTCCATTTCATCTTCAATGTCCGACATGGTGAGAGACTTGATTTGTGTCAATTCAGTGCACTTTGTATGATTTTGAGGTCAGGTTGAAGCAGTGAGTGCAGGGATGCTGCAATGTGTAGGATGCTGGGCTGGTGCTAACAAAGTCGGGGCAGACGCGCCGCGTGAAGAGACGCGTTAATTGGCGGCGGCTTAGTCACCCCGCCCCACGGCTCAGCCCTACGAGCACACCTCATACAGTCGGCCAGCGGAGCTACGCCGTCACCTCCGCCGAGCTCAAAGCACACGACCCAGAACAACAATCTGCGGGCACCCACATTCCAAAATGCCTGTGAGTCTTGGATTATTGCAGACAGACGAATACTGTCGAAGAAAACATCCCCAAACATCTTGACAGCTGACCCCCCGCTAGGCCTACCACTCAGTCTTCCTCGATGAGCCCAATCAGCAATTGATTGGTAGGACTCTCCCATTCGGCTTATAAGAGTGCACCTTGATTGACTGCTACAACAGGCAACTTTGCCCTCCTTCCTCTTCGCACACGCACTCGTGGGCCCGCTGTCCAATTGCCTGCTCTGCCCGCAGACGTCACCGAGCTCACCATTGAAGCCTCACACGAATCATACGACCCCCTAGACGAAGTCCTCGCTCTATTCCGCGCCAACACATTCTTCCGCAACTTCGAGATCAAGGGACCAGCCGACCGTGTGCTCATCTATGGCATCCTCTATGTGAGCGAAGTGCTGGGCAAGATCAAGCCCAGCATGAGCCGGAGAGAAGCTGAGAAGGTACGTGGCAGCTACGACAGGAATTTAGAGCCGAGGCTGACAGAATCAAACAGGCCGTCATGAACTCCGCTCTTGATACAAACTTTGCAATTCCTGGTGATGCTGGATTCCCACTGAACCAGGCTTTCGAAGCGCCTCCAGACAGGAACTCTGCCGAAGTGCTGCGACAGTACATCATGCAGATGCGCCAGGAGTTGGCAACACGGTTACTCAATAGGGTATACGCAGACGATACCAACACTCCTAGCAAGTGGTGGCTGAGCTACACAAAGAGAAAGTTTATGGGCAAGGCTTTGTAGTTTCTGCAGTATAGTTCCAAGGGGATTTACCGTCTTCAAGCTTTGACAGTGATAGAATCATATTTTGGTTCCTCAAGTGATCAATTGCCTATATGACTCGTTCGAAAATCTTGCGTGCAAATACTCCTGCTGTTTCAAAAAGTATCATCCTTTCATGCCTGCGTTTGTCTCACCCGGATGCTAACTTGTATGCTTGCGTTTGCATGTTTGGTCAGCCAGGTGCAAACAATTGCTAGCTGATCTTAACATTCACTTCGCTCTTTGTCTATATCTTCACGTTGCACCACTCACACTCCCCACCACAAACCCTTGACATTTTCAGCGCAGCAGTATTACTGCATTGAATGCCGTCGTTAACCATGGCTTGGATAGGATTCGATTCCAACCCTCGAGGCGCTACACAGTTACTGACAAAAAATGAGGGTATTTCAGTTCCGCCTAAAATTGTAAAGCATCTCAAATAACTAACGCATCGTAGAAGACTCTCCAGAATGGTGCGAATCGCCCTTTGAAAATATGAGCGGTAATTATGTATCTAACCAGGATGATAGGCAAGACGAGAACGGTACGGTGTGCCCTGAGGACGAGCTTGCTTTGCTGCCATACAGTACGTTCACAATGAATCTCTTGCGACTCGGCCGCATCAACTTTTCACAAGCACTAACATGAAATTGATTAAAGTGCCTCCACTTTTTGGCTGCGAACTTCCCCCCTGTGGCCTAATGCCTCAACTCGCATACCAAAACGTTGTTCAGCGCCTCCGCAAGTTGTGGCTTCTGCACGCAAAAGAAAACCCCGCCGAGATCTCCCTCAAATACATCTGCGAGCGAATCTTCGACGACCTTCTAGATGAATCTGAGAAGTTGCCATTCGGAAAAGCGAACAAGACCACGAGACGCACGCCCTGGCGACGCGAACAAGTCTTCAAGTTCGAGCCTTGTTGGGCGCACTACTTTGTTCTTGAGGCAAGGCGTATGAATGGAAGCAGCAGCATGACATCGATGAAGCGGGAGACGCAGGATGCGCATCTAGAAACGGAATGTTTCATACCAACGACATTGGGTATTCATGTTAAGAACCCTGCGAACAAAGAGCATGTATGCCAATTGTGGAGGGAATGGCACAGAGAGAAGAGGCGCCCTGTACCGACACTGAATCCACAAGGAAGCGCTGCGGCAGTGGAAGACGTAGCGGGTAGTATGCAGGATGACTCAAAGGAAAGTGGAGAGACAGAAAATGACTCTGTTATGTAGGTATAGGGCATGCTGTCTCTGACCTAGGTAGAGTGAGAGGTCCCGCACAGCCATGTCTTGAACCACTGAAGTAGCTGAGGTGTGATTCTTTTCGGACAAGATGTTCTTGTATCAGTTGCAGAGTTAAGGCAGTATTGAGTGTGATATGAATCAATGTTGACATAACTCGCTATCCGTGTGTTGTTTCCCCGTGTACATCCCAGAACTTTAGAGAAGCCATGATGCGAATTACTAAACAGTGCATACAAGTCTCTGAACAGCAGCATTATCGCCTCAGGCTGTGAAGTGGCCACACCCTTCTACCTCTCAAATCTGACCCGCATATGTTGCCGCAATGCCTCATCTTATATCATTGTATCCAAAGGTAACAAAATGAAGAGTGAGGGCGGAGCCCTAGCCTCCTCGCCGTGTTGCAGACTCACCTTCACCGTGAGGCTTCTGCCTTGCTCTATTCTCCCTGTGACGCTACCAGTCCAGAAACATAAAGTTGACCCTCCTCACACGACCATCCATCCCTCTTTCTCTCTACTCAACCTTCAACTGATACTCAAATTACATTTTCTCAGCTTACATTACCTGCATCACAGTGTGCACTAACTACCTCAAACAATATCACAACAATCAGTGAGTGGCCTTCTTGTTACATGCCCCGTTGCCGTTACTGATCCGACAATAGATCTTCATCCCCAGCCGTCAAGATGCCCAAGTGGACTCCAGAGTTAGACGCGATTGTAAGTGAACCAGGCACCACCTCAGCTCCCTATGCATATTTCCGCAGTCACTGACGCGCCTTTCAGATCCTCCATGGTGTCTTTGAGGAGTGCAACATCAGCTTCTCCAAGTCACTTTGCGCCAAGATCGCTCAGCGAGTCAATGATGCTGGAGTCGGTATGTTTGTTGTCCTTTCCAATACACGTTCATCTTATTCCTTTCTCCACACCTCTTCTCTACCCACAATTCTGATGTTCCCGTTTAAGAATGCACTCCCAAAGCCATTGAGAATCGCCTGTACTCTTGGAAGAAGAAGAACGTATCGGGCGCCACGGGGTTGAACTCTGCTACGAGCACTCCCGTTCAGACACCCGCCACTCCCAAGACGCCGCGATCCCGGGTCAAGGCCAAGGCAGAAGATCCCGTGACGCCTTCACCCTCTGTCAGAAAGCGCAAGGCTAGTAAGCTCAAGACTGAGCCAGCTGAATCCCAGTCTGAGGAGAATAGTGAGCTTGATGATATGCTCGCTGTCAAAAAGATGAAGACTGAGCCTGTCGAGGAGGGTCTCAGTCTCGATGTGTCGGCGGAGGAACAAGTCTAAGTAAGTGTTCTTGTTCACTAAGCGCTTCATTATGTGATTTCGGATGCACGGCTCAATCGTGGGACAATGGGTTTCCAGGATGAATGTTTACTGCTCTGTATGCTGAGGGTCCTAATTTCCATCATGGGGGATCAGCCTAATCTTTCGTTGCAAACAGCACGTGCAGCGATTGAGGCAGATGCACAAATGAATTAATACAAGGTATCATGGGTCTTTGATACGTATCTTCTACTTCTCTTTCTACTTTACTTCCGAAAGTGCATGTTTTCCTTTTTGTCCGCATACCGTGACAACATTAACTTCTCTCGCGCTTATCCCATTCATTGTGACTCAGTACTCTTGTTCTGCTCGCTATCCTCTTAACGGTTTCTTCATTTAAGAGCTGATCCCAGCAACTTGTACAGAATCATGGTGGTGCGGAGAACAGGTCACAAATATTTATTACATGTAGATAACTAACAAGTAGTCCCAATTCAAAACCCTGGTTGGAGGAGGGTAGGGGGAAATCGAGCAGAAGATGTAGGCTGCAATTTTCCGAATACCCACCTCGGTCTGGTATGAGAGCTCATGCATATCACGTCATGTCTTCTGCAAGAATATAAAAATCCGCTTAGGCACCTCAAATGCTCGTATATGTCTACTGCGGTGGCTGAATAAATCACTCAAGGCTGTGCTGGTGTTCTCACATCTGCAGATGTGGCTGAGCAGCCACTACGAATGTGCCTACTTGCTCGCTAAACTCTCTACACTCCCTTTAAGGCTGCCTGCAGGACTGACACACTACCATTTTGTCAGCGACTTGGACCCTCTTCTCGCGTTATCGAGCGCGAACAATTCCCATTGGCTCCTAACCGCCCACATCAACCGCAGCTAACGGCGGGGGCTGTGCATCCATCAGATGAACCGGTGTAACTCTAGTCATCACAATAGATTTATCAGGCAGCCATGCTGCTCAGGCACCTCGCTCGTGAACACTTTTCAGCTCAGCCAAAACCAACGCCTTGCCTGCCCATATCCCCTTTTCTGGTATCATCCATCGACACATACGCAAGCACGAGACCACAATGACGAAGTCAAATAAGCACGGAAAGAAGGAGCCGAATCTGTGGCGGGAAGCTTACAAGGCGCTCTATGCTGACGGCGCGGAGAAAGAGCATATGCAAAAGGTCCAAGCAAAATTGAGGAAACGACTCAACCAACCGGATCTGGATCTCAAAACTGATGAAGGATACAAAGTGATGCTTTCTTTTATCAACAAGCAAGGAAGCAAGCTGGAAGCAAAAAAGCGTCCGGAGAGATTCAACAGAGTGTCGCAAAATATGGGAATGATCAAAGAACTATTCGGGGCGGGCGCAGCAGTTGGTGGTCCCTATGTGGCTATCCCCGTTGCCGCCCTGTTCATGGTTTTCTCCGTATGATAGATTACGCATGTTTCTGACTTTACGTACAATCAGTCTAACATCCCGACCAGATGGAAGAAATATACACCTCTGAGAAAGACGCCATGATAGATTTGGCCGAAGTTGCGTCCGATTACTATGTTTATACTGCCAAAAGCCACGAGCGTGTCAGTATACGGCCCGAGGATGATGACGACATGCAAAGATTAAAGCAGAAGCTGCGCGTCGTCTATATCGGTCTGTTCAAAGGAATCATGTTTGCATCGGCGCAGCTGGCAAACTTCCTCTGTGACGACTCTGCGCCCAAGAAATGGTTCAAGAACGCAATGAAGATGTACAACTGGAGCGAGCAACTCGAAGACCTCAACAAGCGCTACGAGACGAGCCAGAAATGCTGTGACGAGATGGTCTGGCGTCTGACACTTGGCCCGGCGCCAAAGGCAGAAACCAAGGTGTCAATGGGGCCTGGTCCGCGCAATGCTTTACACTGGGCAGTCGCAGACAAGCTCTACACCAGAATCGACGAACTTGTGTCGAAACAGGAATGTCCCATCAATGCCCTTACACCAAAGCGCTGGACCGCAGCACATCTGGCGGCGGAACACGGCGATACCAAGATCCTGCGGACCTTGCGTTCCGTACCCGGTATCGATATCCACATCAGGAACGTCGATGGCCGAACCGCTCTCCACATCGCCGCGCTCAACAATTGCGTCGGCGCCGTAAAACTGCTGCTGGAATGGGACCACAAGCTGCTCAACGCGCGCGACAACAAAAACCGCACCGCATACCTGCTCGCCGCCGCAAAAGGCCACGTCAAAGTGCTCGAGGTGCTCAAGAACAAGGGCCAAGATATGAACCAGTCGACGCTCAAAAACGGGTGGACTGCGCTTCATCTCGCCGCCGAACTGGGCCGCGTCGACGCTGTCAAGTTCTTGCTCGAAAGCGGTGTCCGCAAGGATACCCGCACGACGGCCGGCGCATCAAAAGGTTGCACTGCGAAGCAAATCGCCGAATTCAAAGCTAAAGTAGATGTCGTTGCGCTGCTTTGATATAGAAAGATACCGAGGTTCGGCCATATGTAGTCGAAAGCAGTACACATACATAATTAATGCCCTGTCCGTTTCACAGGTACCCAGTCAAAGAGAACAAGTCTTGGTAAACTACCAGGACCTCCTCCTCCTCCTCCAATTCGGACGGCCTTTTTCTTGCGGAAAGAATAAGCACTATAGCCCCTTAGCTCCCGCGACTCCCGATTCCCATACCGTTGGACGACACACATCAAAAGCAAAAAAAAGACCGATGAAGGAAGTTTACATACCCACGAACGGACTTTTATTTTGGCGTGTCCGGCGGCAGGCATGGGGGTGTGTGTGGGCCCCAAATTCTAGATTGCCACGGCGTTAGAGAGTCGCGGAGAAAGACGCGCCAATTTGCTTGGCTTGTATGCAGCGAGTTTGTGCACCCTTCCCCCCCCCCCCCGGCTTTTGCTCACAAATACGTGGGTGCTGATTGGGCGGTGTGTGGGTTGAATAGACTACTGTACTTCAAACAGTCCTTGGGTGTAAATTGCTCTCGCACTGGGCCTTTTTCACATGCGTAGGATGTTGAGAAAGGCAATTGACGACATTGATTTCCCCAACCACACTACCTTGTGATAATACAAAAGGTGTTAAAAAAAATGTCAAAAAGTTGTAGTATATAGCATTTTTTTCCCAGCCTTTATGACGTGCATTTCCGACCGCACACTCCATGCGTTTCATGCGATATTTATAGATCCTTTTCCTTCTTTGCTTTGATGCTACATCGTACTTTCATTTAAAACAGTTGCATATAGTAAGCCTTGGTGTGTGTATACAGGCGCCTGGCATGGGGGGTTGGCGGGATATGGGGAGATTTCCGGCCTTGATGTTCCGATGCGTGGTTGCAGCGGGGAAGGCGAATTGTAGGTTTGTTGAAAAAGAGGGTTAATCCTGGTCGCCTCCGGCCCGGCCGAGGGAGGGTAGGGGAGGGGGGCCTGCACAACATCGACTGCTGTGTTTAGAGTGTGATGAAAGGATGCGAATGCTGGGCTGGTGCCGCATTTTTTTCTTCTCTTTCTCTCTCTCTCTCTCATTGCGATAAGGGAGGGGGGGGCGTTAAGACGTCGTATTCTAGTAAAGCCGCGGTAAGTTTTTCGATAGTAGCAATGAACTGCGCATCTATCTATCTAAGAACAAACTTTCTTGTGTACCTGACTTGGTAGCCTCATGACATGGTTGTACTCTGGAGTTGATGCCATGATAGGCATACTGTTGTAGGGAAGTGGTTAAAGGGTGTGGCGCACCGTCGTAGTTTAGCGGGAGTGCAATCTCCGATCCCTGAGTTTAGTCTCCACTACTACCAAAGCAGACGTGGTTGCAAATCAAGCATATCTCGTGTATGTAGTCGCCCGACGGAAACCTACTGAGCCACCGTTGCTGATGATGGCCATGTATTGAATGATGATGTTATCTTGTGTTGGTGGATGTTCCATCTGCCTAGCTGAGCCCCCCCAGACGGTCAGCAGACTAGTAGGTGTTCGCAGCAGCAGCACCCACGAGTGGCAATGATACAGTCATGCGTGAGACTGATGCTGGAAGGGAAAAAGGTCAGCATAGCATAGCAAAGTCGTAGTAGCCCGGGCCTAGTCCCAGAGCCACGCATTCGAGTCAGGCACCTACTTTGACGTTATGTCGCGCGGGCCGAGCGACCATGGCTCCGCCGTCCTAGACCTGGCCCACACCTGCAAGACAGGGGGAGGGAGGACCGCGAACCTACCTGGGGTTCTCTCTCTCTCTCCCCCAGCGAATCCGAACCACTTTTGTTTTGATCAAGCGTTACACGATTCGAGGGAGATCCAGGGAACAAAGGCGTGACATCTTTCAAGAGACCGGGTGACAAAAAGGGCAGCAAGAGGCACGTGTAATGGGAAAATGGTCCAGGGGTGGGCACGCACTGGGGAAGGATGCTGGCATAGTAAGGTAACAATAAGTGAATACGTCCGAGATGCCGCTAAGCCTTTACGACTTACTAAATTTTCCTCTTCCCCTTCTTGGCTTAGAAACAAGACCTTGTACGCATGGAGAGCAATCTGCGGTGGCGCTGGTCGTTTGACCGAGGCGCGCAGAAAAAAAAGTAGTATAAGAGACTCGTGGATATCATGGTAGACTGAACTTCATCCTCACGCCTACTCGACTTCGCCTCTTGCTACAGATACTCTTCTACAGCCTTTAACTTCAAAGTCTCGAAACCCCGACAATATGCGCTTTACATCTGTACCATTCGTTGCCCTCGCGGCTGTCGGCGTAGTCAACGCCCAGGGTTCTATGGATACATGGAATCCAGCTGCAACCGGCGACTGTAAGTTTAACTTTGTCTTCCCAGAAAAAAAAATAGTCACTAACATTCCTCTCAAAAGCCCGTGGACCCTGCCCCATGCTCAACACCCTGGCCAACCACGAATACCTCCCCCACAACGGCCGCAACTTCACCCTCGACATCCTCAAGCACGCCTTCAAAACCGCCCTGAACCTCAGCGACGACGTCACCGTCCTCCTGCACACCGCCGCCCTCACCACCAACGCCGGCGGCTCAACTTGGGGCTTGGATACGCTCAGCAAGCACAATATCCTCGAGCACGACGGCAGTCTTTCGTAAGTTCTCTTTCACCATATCCCTATAATAAGATAGGATGTATGTACTAACCGTCCCCAAAAAGTCGCCAAGACAACGCCATCAACGGCGACTCAACCTCCTTCAACGCCACCATCTACGCCCGCACCCGCTCCTTCTTCACCGCCCCGACAATCTCCCTCCAAATGGCCGCAAACGCCCGTCTAGCCCGCATGCTCGATTCCCTCAAGATCAACCCGCAATTCTCAATCTCAGCCCCTGCTGTCGGGTTCAGCCACCTCGAGACGGCGATTTACATGATTGTGTTTGGGGATCGCAAGGACAAGACGGCGGTTAGGGAGCAGGTGGATTTTTTCTTTGGTGAGTTTGCACTGTTTCCCCCCCCCCCCCCCCTTTTGGTTGGAAAAAGGGGAGCGTGGGGGATTTTTTGCGAAGAAACGAAAGAAAGCTAATAACACGAACAGAAAACGAACGTCTCCCCACTGAACTCGGCTGGAAAACTCCAGACACAGTCATTTCCGGTGCAGATGTCAAGGAGTACCAGAATCTCGTTGTTGCGAATACCAAGTATCAGCCTGATATCATGGGTCCTTAAACACCCCCTTCCCCAGCTTGGCCATGAACTCGTAGGATGACTTTGGGCTTCTTCTTATTTTTCATTGTTTATATATATATAACTATACCTTTTTCTTTGGCATTTAGCATATGTTCTGTTACGACTTCTTTTTTTTTTGAGGGGGGAAATGGGGATGGGGGAATGTTGATAGATGAATCGGGACATATAAATAGTTGAATCCATCAGAAAACCAATTCTGTTTGACAAAAAAGAAAAGGAAGAAAAGAACTACTGCAATGCATTCAATCCCCCATCTATTCTATACTCTAAAAAAAAGTCTCAAAAAAAAACTACCTCTCATCCCTCTCAGCCTCAGCTCTGATATCCTCCCTACTGCCACGTCCCCCAAGTCCTCTCCAAAGCTCACTCAGCGTCCCACTAAGACTCCTGCCCCTGCCTGTTCTCGCACTGGCAGGTGCAGCGTCCGACGGTCCAGCCTGACTATCGCGCGTCTGCCGGCGACTCAGCGGTTCACTTGTGGTGGTACCACCGCCCATCATGGCGCCGTCATCGACGTTGTCGCGCGACGAAGAACCCAGACCGAGGACGCTGCCGCGGCGGCGAATGGAATCGTCCGGGTCGCGGTAGCGGATGCTGGCTCCGCGTTTGAGATCTTGGACCATTGTGCTGAGGCTGGTGCTGAGGGGGCTGGCAAGGAGGGGACCGGCGATGCTGTTGCGGGTTCCTTGGGGGCGGTCGACGGTGCGCAGACGACGGAGTTGGGAGCTGGGGGTCGTGGGGATGTCGGTTTGGGATTTTCCTCGCGTGGGGGTCCAGGGGAGTCCGAGTTCGGGGTCGCTGGCCAAGGCCAAGGGTGCGGGTGCGGCTTCGGATGGTAGGACGGGGGTGGAGGTGTGGCGGTTTAGTGGTGGTGTGCGATCTTCGGGTTCGTTGGGTTGGGTCCATGGGTTTGCGACTAGAGAAGACATGATGTCTCCAGAGACTGAGCGAACAACGGGATTTGGTGGGGTTACTGGCTCGGGTATAACCACTATGGTTGGTGTTGATGGGCGCGAGTCGTCATCGCGGTAGCGAGAAGGGATGTTGATAGGTGGTGAAAGTGGACGTGATGTCGATCGCGTACTTGCAGCAACATCGTCGCCAGCGTCATCCACATCATCAGTATAGCGTTCACCTGCGAGATACATCGCATCATGATCTGTCTCGTCGTCTTCCTCGCTGTGTTGCGGAGGTCGTCCGCTCGTGATTAACCAAACGCCAAAGAACGTCAAGGCGCATCCACCGATAAACTTTCCTGCATCCTGCGCCGAAGTCCTTTCAAAGTCGCGGTAGAGCACTGCAGACCCGCCAATGACGGACAAGGTGAAGAGAACAAACTGGACGGGAATGACCTGGGTAGCATCGAAGCGCTGCAGTGCACGGTTGACATACTTGATCTGCATAACTGCAGTGCCAACGAGAATAGCAACCAGGAGATAGAAGACTGGAAAAGTAATGGCCCGCCATAGTGTATACGAAAGCAACGACGCAACACCTTTGGTAGAGAGCGCCGTATATCCACCTTGATAAAGTCAGCCATACCGCATTGCAGATCATACCCATTGAACAACCCCAAAAAAACTTACCAAATAGCCCTACAAGCCCCAGATCAATCAAAATATTCTTATCCCCATACTTGTTACTCGCACCCATGAGCACGATAATCACACCAACAGTGATACCAAGATACGTCTCAAACTCCCAGCGCCTGATCAAATCCCAAATCTCGCCAGGTCCCAACTTGGGATTATTATCGTTTGCCGAAAGCACAACCGTGACCGCGCCTCCAACCGCAATGATAACACCCAGCGCATCGCGTTTGCGGAACGGCTCCTTGAGCATAAACGGCGCAATAATGCAGTTTGAAATGAGCGCCACGACACCGAGCGGCGAGACAATGGACGCAGGCGCAAAGCCGTAGGCGAGAAAATTCCCCGCCTCGCCCACCGTCATGAGAATGATGCCGAACCACCAGTACGGCGACTTGAGATACGACGTCTGCTTGTAGACTTCGTCGTCCGGGCCCGATCCCGCGCTGTCGCCCCTCTCCACACCCGGTCTCGTCTGGTGGGAGCACTCGTTCGCAACCAGGGGATCCGACTCGGTCGCCTCGAAGATATTCGCATCAGGCGCATGAAGCGTCTGACCCTGTGTGCCATTTCCATGCTGATGCTTGGCTCTGCTACCGCCGTTACTGCTAAACTTTGTCACTTCTTCATTTAGTCGGTTCAGACTTAGCCCAGATGCATTCCTCCTCTTGCGCTGCCGCTCTTTGGCCTGCCACTCGCGATCCAGCCGAATGTGCGCGTACCGCTGCATGTTGAGCGCAAACGATATCAGCACGTTTCCTACTATCGCCGTTACGATGCCGATGAGACTGCTCCAGTTCTCCGGGTATCTAATACCTCCTCCTCCTCCGCCACCGCTGTCGCCGTCGCCCGTCTCTTTTGAAAACCATGATAGGCCATTAAGGAGTATTATGCTCGATGTGTGCGTGGATGCCGGCGTCGCTGAGCCAGCAGTGACGTAGCTGGGGGGTATATGCATCGCGTCGGGAGGTGCAGGCTGGGTCCTAAGCAGGGTAACGCGGAATGCGATGGGCCAGCCGAGGGAACAGCGCCGGCCGTGGTATCGCACGCCCGTGTGCTTAGGTTGCGGTTGGTGAGAGGAAGTCGTCGCGTTCAGATATTATATGGCAACTACAAAAGGCATGCGATACAAGGTGACATGCTTTCCGGCCCGAATGTTGGTGGTGGGCTGCATTTCTTTGGTGCCGCCGTATGCCGCGACGGCCTTTCCAGGCTCTCCAATATCTTTCACATGACGAGGCTGCGGTCCAAGCTTCAAATGCACCATCGACATGCTACGCGCTAGCAGTCATTGTGCATCAACCGCCTATTGATAATGTTGTCTTTTGCACGAATCTGACAGCTTTGTCGTGCCTAGTGCTGACAAGGAACATGTTATGCCCATTGCGGCAGAGCCCTCTAGTTGGGATACTGATGGTTTGATCTCATTCCATAGCACCTCAGCCAACTACTACATCATACTTGAACATGGATGCATGGATATATGCGAGACGAACTTCGTCAAATTTATTTGAATATATGGCTATAATACAAACTATACAGATAGACTATATTCCGCTTCTGCATGTTCCACATCACGCGACGTCACGTGAGGTGAGCATATATGCAGATTCCCCATACGCACACCAATACGCCGTTATAAATGTTAATGTCCACCCGCATGCTTTTGCTAGTCGGCAATATCGTACTCTACGGTCTTCAGCCAGCTAGGGAACGGACATCTTCACGTCGTCGTTTGTGGCATCCGCGACACCTTCACCATCCTGCTCCATGCTCTCAGGAACCGGGTCAGGCTCAGAGGCAAGAAGCTTGATCCTTGCCTCGACAGCATCTTCTCCGACGACAGATTCTTCAACTTGAGCCTTGCGGATGAAGACAGTGTGCCAGCGCTTGCCCCAGGCCTTGATGAGTTCAACCTCCTCTTCGGTCAACGCACCGCTAGAAGACTTCTCAAGCATTGTGTCGGCAGAACCCTCGGCGACACCGCGCGTAGAGTCCTCAATGTACTTGAACAGTTCCCGGGCATTGTCTCTGTCCTTGGCCAGTGTAGCTTCAACCATCTCAATCTGCTCCTGAGGAAGACCCTTTTGAAGACGTGCGGATGCGATCTGACGGTTGCGGTTGGTGACCTTGGCGACTGTGTTGGACACCATCTCGAAAACCCAGCTCTCAGTCAAAGCCTCTCCAGCGCCCATGTGGCTACCAAATACCCATTGGACAACTGTCATCGGTGCAAGAATGGTGTAGTTGAGCAGGATATCGATAATGCGGACGGCGACACCAGGCTGGTCTTTCCAGTACTCCACCACACTGGCTACAATCTGACGGCGTGCAGTCTCGTTTTGAGAGATTTCCAGGAGGCGGTCCTTGCCTCGCTCAATGCAAGAAAGAACGTGGGACAGCGACTTGGCACCCAGACGACAGATGGCAGTGACAAAAGCATCAGTTGAAGGTACGAGAACTTCTGCAATACCTTGCGCAAGAGCCTTCTCATGAATGCTATCGATCGTGACTTGCACTTCCTCTGCTGTAGCCTTCTTCCTCAGCTGGTTGAGCAAGGTCTGACCTTCAACAGCATATGGGGTATCTAAAGCTAGTGTCAGTCATATTCGCATTTACGTCTAGTGCATACATACCTGGGTTGTCGTATTTGAAATCGGGACTATTGTCCGCATCCAGACGCTCGGGAATCAAAGCGTGCATGGGGTCTGGCAGAGTCGAACGGATGCGCTTTGCAAATGACAGTCTGATTTCCTTGTCCAAGGTAGCAAGAATGAATGCCTTTTTTGGGTGCAGATTCGAAAGCTCGAGATCGTCAAGCCTGATGTTGTTAGTATGTTTATGTCACACACACACACACTTTTAAACATACCATTCAGTCCACCTCCATCGGAACTCAAAGTTGCTGAGATGGTGCGAGAACCAATCAAGGAACCTATAGCCCAACTCCAGATCCATCATGGGGAGATTCTTATAAATCGTACGGATAGCCCTTCCAAGTGACGGTGCAATGGCAGCAGGAGCAACTTTGCAGCACTGAGTAATGAGCGAGTGGTAGTAGACGAGTTTGTGTTCGGCACTAGGCAGCTTGAACAGTTGTGAGAAGATGGCGTCGATGATCATATCTTCAGACTTGTACTGGATCTTGTCACCGACCAGCTCGCGGAACTTATCAAAGGGTGAGCCACGCTTGGCGAAAATGTCGACAGACCAGTAGCAGTCCACATCGACGAGGAACTTGGCAACCATCTCCCGGTTGAAGTCAAGTTGATTGATGGTGTCAACGATAGCATCGCGTACAAGAGATGACGCAATGTCAGTCGTCTTAGGTACGGTGTCAACTTCCTGGTCGGCGAAGAGGGAAAAGTAGGCCTCGGGAAAGACAGGCCTTGGGCCAGGGTTGACGGGAGATGGGATGGTGAATGTGGGGAAAGTGTGCGTCTGAGGTGCTGTAGGCAAAGCATCTTCTTCCTTGGCGTTCATAATACGTAGTGCCTCGGGGTCAACGCGTGGAATACACCTGAGCTCAAATCCAGAATCCGCTTCAGCCGAAAGCTGTGCCTGGAGGAGACCAATGACACTATTGTAGCTGACTGGCTTCGACTCGAAATCACCAACGTACGAGTGGATAAGGCTTTCGATAGGAACCATGTTGCTTGCCACAATGCCCGTGTTCTTCAACAGTTGCCTGGCTTGCTCATGGAAGCGCTCTCCTCCAGCTACGAGTGCGTAAGGGATGGTAAGGAGGATGATCTTGACGAGTTCGATGCCGACAACCTGATTTTGTTAGCAATAAACAGTGTATATTTTTGCAGACGGCTTACATCGTTCTCGTTGGCACTCTGCAGGTCCACAACTGTGTCGAAGAGCTGACCGAGGAAAGTAAAGATGCCATCATCCTCATACAGCGATTGCAGACAGGCAAAGAATCTGAGAAGTAGTTTAAACTCTTTCCACTCTCCAGCGTTGAGAGCCGCTTGTGCCCTATCTGAAACGCGCTTCATGGCCTCGATTGTGATTTCTGGCTTGACATCGTTTGCGTAGTAGGCAACGGCTGCAACAAATGGAATCTTAAAGGGTTGCTCGACAATACTACGATGTGTCAGTGTGACTCGACATGTAGCCATGGGAATGCTTACAGCTGGACCAGGACATCGAAAAAGTCTGAGCGGAGACGCTCGTCGTCAAAGTGCTCTCCAAAGTACTTTGCGATTTCAATGGCTTCGTCTTGCGGTAGCTTGGTGGAGCTGGCAATGTTGAGAAGCAGTCTCCTCAATTTTGGGAATGGGGGTTCTTCGTATCGGCGACGGGGGCCGTCGTCGTGGCGGCGTCTCTGGGGCCCACGGCGGTCATCACCGCGGTAGTAGTTGTCGTTGTCATCTACGCGACCATGTCAGCACTATCATTTGAAGATGAAAGCATTGCGCAGAATGAAGCAGTGTGTTGGAGGGTACAGCCTGGTGTGTATCGCAGTCGTGAAATATTCCAGGACTCTCCCGTTTGTGCATACTGATTGCGCAAGTTTGCCAGCAGACAAAGAAGCAGACTTACCGTCACGGCGGCGCTTGTTGTTCCCTCGATAACCACCGCGATCGCGTCTGTCGTCACGTCGGTCCTCGCGCCTATCACCGCGCTCCTCCTTGAAATCGATATCCGCCATGGCTGCGACACTATCTGGTTGATCCCTTTGCTTCAATATCTCTGGTGAGAATTCCCAATGTCGCGACGGCGTCGAATTACTGGTAGCGCGTGTGCCGTTGCGTGGGTTGTCGTAGTCCTTGTATGTATGGCTGTAGGGACGGTAGAAATCGCCGTTGAGGAAGCCAGAAGGGTGGCCGTGGCGTCTGGCAACTCGGTTGCGATGTTTGCGGATGGGTCGCGAAAGTGGATTGTCGAGGTTGCTGCGCGGAAGTTGCTCTGGAGCATCCGCGAGAGCTTGTGATCCAAACAGGCTAGCGCCATTTGAGCTCTTGTCTTGGCGCTCCGTGCATGCATCTTCGACGTCAACGGACATGGACATGTCATTGCTTGGCCAACTGGTGTCGACTAGGTGTTTTTGAGGATCGACGTCTGGGGTTTCATGCATTTTGTGCTGGTGCTGTGCCTGATACTGTGTTATTGTATCCCGGAAAAGGTCAGGTTTGTTCAGTAAAGAGGAGTTCATAGCGTCAGTCCTGATGAAGCAGGAGAATGAATGTTACGCTCACTTGGTTTTGTAGATTGTGAGAAAGTATCCAAGTATCCAATTGTGAACTGGTATAGAATCTGCTGCCTCTCTCACTACACTGCCTAGTGGTTGTTTCAAAGTGAGTCTGTATCTGCAGTAAAAGGCAGGCAATTACCAAATAAGACATGATGAACTGACTTGCAAATGCCATCTATTCTTTTGCTCGTCTCAGAAAAACATTCACATGTAAAAGACATCAAAGAAAAAAAAAGGTCAAGAATATGAAGAGACTTGTATCCATTTAGGGAGTTCGCGCAAAAGGCAGGTAAGACAGCAGGGGTAGTCGTTGCCATGTAAGCATTTGCTCCACTGCAGACATGCAATCCTTTGGTCTAGTAGTGCTCCAGTGCCAGTCGTAAATTTGCCAGTCCGTATGCTCTCAGTGCAAAAAGGCCATTCTCCTCACAGGATCGCCGTTCCGACGGGTCAGGGTAAAACCGTCCAAATTGCGAAATGAGCCTCACCATCCCATGTGCAGCCCATTGAATAGATCTTGAATAACAAAGAAAGAAGAAAACTCCCGCATGCAAGGCAGGTGACGCATCGTAAAACCCATGCTGAAGCGTCGGAAATCGGATGAGCGAGACCCTTCGTCAGCTTTCCATACTCAGTACATCCCAAATTTTGCCAGCTCCCCATTCCTTTGCTTGTGCAACCCTTTTTCGCTCATTCATCATGTCCAAAGGCAACTGAGGAACATCATCTGCAGTGCAGGCCCACCATCATTTCGCGTAAACGAAAAGGCCAGTAGCCCCGAAAGAAAAGTAAGCCAGGTCATTCTTTGTAAACGTGAATGTCGGTATCATTTCAGACGCGCGCAGACAAAGCAGAAAAGGGTGCGCTCCTCGTAGTATACACCTGATAAAACCGACGCCCATTTGAGACTCCTTTTTGCATCTCTCCGGACGGAATAGCTTTGTGCTCAGGAGCGGAGAGGATCAAAAGTCGCCGCATGAAGAAATATTATCGTTTCGAATGACAGTAAGCATGGCTTAATCCAACCTGGCCATCATCTGATCCTTGGTTAATGGCTTGAAGCTGGGCGATTCGAAGTCAAGGCCACGTGCAGCCAGTGTCGCGCGGTGGTGCGGCGGTATGAGCTGGCTGTTGAGGTGAGGGGCAATGGAGAGTTCTGGACGGGGGTTAGCTACTTGTGCTGTGAGACAAGAGAGTCGGGGGACCAAAGCTCACCATGATGGGTGAAATTGTACAACTCTGGCAGATCGCGGGTGGCCCCGTTGGGGTGACGCGAATCTGGCAGGCGTGTGTTGGGATCCCTCAGCTCATCAAAGAATGGGTGGACCATGGCATCGATGGCCGAGAGACGTTGTGTAGGAGTGTACTCGAGCAGCTTGGAGATCAAATCGATGGCGCTAGGATCCGCCTTGCGGAAAACCTGAGGGGTGTGTGTGAGTAAAGTGTGGCACAGCAAAATTGGGGATGTGGGACCAAGAGACCAGACCTACCTTGCTGAAAGGGTGAGGCTTGATTTGCGGGAACTTGTGCTCCATGTAGTTGGGGTTCATGGTGCGGATCTGATCGCGGGTGGGTGTTCCCAGAACCTTGATGATCTCTACCAGCTGGTCAATGCCCGACTCGCCTGGGAAAAGCGGCTGTCCGAGCATCAGCTCTGCCATGACACAACCTGTAGACCAGACATCTACACGCCAAGATTAGCACACATACACATACACAGCCGACACAGTCTTGATCAAATGCACCTACCAATCTTGGTCGTGTAGTTTGTGGCTCCGAAAATCAATTCAGGGGCACGGTAGTACCTGGAACAAATGTACGACACATTGGGCTCGTTTTCAACCAGGATCTTTGCACTTCCGAAATCGCACAACTTTAGCACACCAGTCGAGGGGTCTAGCAGCAGGTTCTGGGGCTTGATGTCCCGATGGCAAATACCCTGCGAGTGGATGTAGGCAAGCGAGCGGAAGAGCTGGTAAATGTAGAGCTTGACTTCGAGGATGGGCATGACCGACTTCATCTTGTTGAAGTAGCGGGAGGCGCGATAGACGGTCTCTGGAACGAACTCGAGCACGAGGTTCAGGTACACCTCGTCCTTCTGTGGCTGAAACGGTTAGCTACACGACAGACACAGACGCGCTTGGCTGCAGACACATACCCGCTCGCCATTGTTGTAGAAGAAGGCCTTGAGCTCGACAATGTTGGGATGTCGGACAATGCGCATGATCTGGAGTTCACGGTTCTGTTGGGGGAAGTCAGCCGGGAGTCAGCCGGAGGGGCGCGCATGTGGGAGGGAAGGGAAGGGAGGGGAGGGGAGGGGTGGGGTGGGAAGGGGGAAGGCGACGCGCAACACACACCTTGAAGCGCTTGTCTTGAAGAACTCGCTTGATGGCGGCATCCTCACCACTGGGCGACAACTTGGTCTGGAAGACGACACCAAAGGAGCCGTTGCCGACAATCTTGCATTGCGTATAGGCGAGGTCCTTGTAGTCGCCGGTCAAGCCGTCCTGGACCTTTTCGCGGATAACTTCTACAGGGGAGAGTGAGCATGGCAACAATTGACATGGCGGATCTAAGGGGGTCGACTACTTACCACCCATTCTTAGCGAGGAAAAGGCCGATGGCCGGTTCTGGCTCATTGTTTGGAGTTATGCGTAGGGGAGGGGGTCCGCAAGCGCTGCGCGGATTGCTATCGGGAGTGGGGCGGGCTGTAGGTGAGCAGGGTGTGGCAGGGTTTGCGAGCGTGGTGGAGGAGAGCCGTAGTGGATATGGGCAGAGGTGGCGGCAGGCAGGGAGTGGTGGTGGTGGTGGTGGAAAGGTTTAGTGGTTGGTGGTGGTGGTGGTTGAGGAGTAGTAGCAGCAGCAGTAGCAACAGGGAGTAGGCGCGAGGTCGAGTGTCAAGAGGGCGTGGTCCCGCGTGCCGTCTGTGCAGTAGCAGGTGACGCTGGTGTGGCTGACGGAGCTAGCGACCAGGGCAGGCGCAGGTGGTGGCCGGAGCAGCAATGGGGCAGGCAACGAGGCCAGGGACTTTTTGGGCTGAGCAAAGGCAGCAGAGGGAGAATTGAGGGCGAGGATATGCAGCTTGTGAAGGAGCGAGGAGAGGCGACGATGGGGTTGAGTGACGGCAGTGCTGGGGATTAAGGGCGGGGCAGCAGTCCTAGTGCTAGTTTGGGTGTCAACGTGACTGCAATTCACGTACTTGTCAGCGCGCAGGCCAGTAAGGGAGCGGCTAGGTCCAAGGGAACCATACAGGAGCGGGCAAATCTGGTGCAGGAAATATGGACCTGCAGGAGAGGCGGGCGTTGCAGAGAAGTGGATGATGGGCTGTGGATGTGGATGTGGATGTGGATGAGGGAGGGATGGATGGATGAAGGGGTGGGGAGCAGCAGCACACTATTAGACAAGGCTACTGTGTGCAGGCAGAGAGAAGAAGGAGAAGGAGAAGGAGAAGGAGAGTAGAAGCTGAGTAGAAGCTGGAGCTGAAACCGAGAGAGGAACAGGCACACACAAAAGGAGTAGCAGCTTGGTTGGTAGGCAGACAGACAGACAGCCAGACAGGCATGCACACACACAGGGAGCATGCGCGCGTTCGGTCGTTCTTGAAACAGACGTCAGCAGCGTCGCCAGTCGCCTTTCGTTTTTCTACCCTCCAGTCGACACCCACACACACACACACAGACACACACACAGACAGAGAGGCACACCACACCATAGACATAGACACACACACACACACACACACCACGCAGACATGACGATAGCAATAGATGGCGGCGTGGCGTGAGGCGGCGGCAGTGCTGGCGTTGACGTGCTGCTTGTCGGGTGCTGCTTGCTCATCACCCGCCATGGTACATACATTGGCCGTGGTGACGATGACGATGGTGCTGCACACGACGCTGGCTCAACATGACCATCTGCAGCTGCCGACGCCGGCCTGCACGTGAGGCATGAGATTTTCCTGCCTTCGCCGCCATGCCACCATGCCGCCCGCAACAATAAGCCGCGCCCACTTGGCCGTGGCCGTGGCCGTGGCCGTGGCCGTGGCAGCTACTTACAGCGACAGCGACAGCGACAGCTACAGCTACAGCTACAGCTACAGCTAGTAGGCACACACACTGGCACAACGGCCCAGAGCCCAGAGTCCAGAGTCCAGAGTCCAGAGTCGACAGCCCTGCCACCACCATGGTATCAACTAGAGGGCGCTGCCGCCGCCCGTTGGTAAAGAGGAGCCTGGGTTGCGTGGCCGCTCTCGACACGACCGTTTGATGCCAGGGCCCTCGTGCTGCTAGGGCCCAAGTACTCGCGGCCTAAAAGTACCTCTTCCCCTACCCTACCATGCTGATGCCAATACCAATGCTGCTGCTGCTGCTGCGAGCCGGCGAGGGGAAAATCCCTACCTACAGCCACCCACTCCGCCGCCCATGCCATCCAGGGCCCCCGCTGCTTTAGCGAGCCTATCTCAACACGACCAAGGCCTTTTTGACGCTGCCGACTTGTCAATTTCATGCAGCACCAGCACCCACGGCCCTGCCTGCTCCGCTGCCCGCCAACCACAGCCGACGAGAAAGAAAAAAAGGGGACAAAGGAAAAAAAAGGTTTGCTGGCCGTCACAGCCACAGCAGGCAGGGCGGGTGCAGGGGCTTTGGTTGGCTTTGGGCGCCCGTCCGAGTGTCGATGGATGAGAGCAGGCACAAGAGAACAGCGGGCGCGCCAACAAGACGACGACCATCACATCGCATCGCATCGTGGTGCATTGCCAATCGCTTCGCTGCCATCCATGTCCGCCGCCGCCGCCTGTTCTCCTGCCTCGTCATGGCTCTCAGACGCCCCGGCGCCGCCCTCGTGGTGCAGCTCCACTCCATGGCCAGCTGATGTTCTCTTGCACCCTGGTCCTAGCGCCCCTCGTCTACAGCCGAATGCCCGGGCCTTCCAGAGCCCTGGCGCTGCTGCTGCTGCTGCTGCTGCTGCATCATACTACTGACGCCGGCCACCGTCTGCTCTCCTCTGCCTCGTCGTCCTCGTCGTCCTCGTCGTCGTCCCAATCCTCTCATGCCTCGCATTCCTCTCCTACCTCCTCCCCTACCTCCCCATGCTCGCCATTGCCGCTCTGCGCCTCCAAATCCTCACACCGTACCCTCCCGGGCCACAGCCGAGTGCTGCTCCGCCCTCTGTGCAAGCTGCCACCCTTGACCGGCTGCCTGCACCGCCTGCTCACATTCCTGTTCCTGCTGCTCTTGCTCCCCCTCATACGTAGACATGACCACGGCCCACCGGCCGGTGTGTGAACGACTGCTCGGTGCGGGTTACACGCCCAATTTCTCGCCGTGTACCTGTGTGCCTAAACGGGCAAAACTTGCAGCTTCTGCCCTTGCTGCATACTACTCCTCATGACGCTCGTGCTCCCCTTCCTTGCCTCTCCCGCCCCATGCTGCTGCTGCTGCAAGGCACGTGTCAATAGCCCTCGCAAACACGTCTACATACACTACTTTGCTGTAAAATGCCTCTTGCCCAACACCTGCTCCCCTGCCCTCCACTCACGCTCATCCCACAACCCAACCCTCCTCGTGGCCAGACCACACTGCTCGGAATGGCGTGCGGCTGAAGCGACAACTACGGGGGGGTTTTTTGCTTGCATTTTTGGCGCATGTTGTGTGGGTAAGCTAACAGCCCAGCCCAGTTACACAATTTATCGTGGCCCGATTCGCCCCTCGTACGTCAACCTGCATGCTCGTTTAGCGCGTCCGGAATCAACATGCATCCTATTGGCTCCCATCATGTGACTACCACCGCACCACCACGATGCTGCCGCCCGCTCGACACGGATTCATCCCCTGCAGAAGAAATACCGAGCCCCACTGCCTCTACCCTTCTTACATCAGAAATCTCGAGAGCCTTGTATTTCGTTTTTGCAGGTAATGGTTACTCATGACCACTACGCCCCATCGCCGATAGCTGGAAAGAAGTATTGTTTTTGAGCAATCGCCCCGTCAATCAAACCGCCGCACCTGTGCACAACAACCCCGTACCACCACCTCTTCCCGCTCTGTCTCAGATCTGGCGACAGGCCGCCATCTACGAGCAAATTGCCTCGAAGCCTGATCAGCCATGCTCACTCCTTGATTCGCCGACTAAACCTGAATGCAATCTCACCGCGAGAGGCCCCGTGTGTGCCCCCCGTCAACCTTTGAGTAACATGTACAGATGCATCTCAGCCTTGTGGAGTGCCCATCTGCGTTACACAAACGACTTGTCTTGACGAACAATGTAAATGTCAACGGCCCATTATGCAGTCAGGCGCACGGCAATTCCGCACATGGAGTTTAGACCAAGCAGACTAGGTGCTCCCAGTACTGTGCCGCTGCCTTTTGTTTGGCTACCGACATCGGCCGCATTGTCCACAACCCGCATCTGCGGTCACCATGTTTGAATCGGCCATGACACGACCAAAGGCCATTGTTGCATCTCGACACCTTGTCACGCCATACCAATGTCCATGTCAAGAGCAACTTCAATCGCAAGATATGTTACTGCAATTATTGCTCAATGCACAAGTGCCGACTTTTAGCATCTACGTATCCCCGAGCTGCAGCCGCACGGTAGCTCACATGGCCACACTACTCTTTACCTACATTGCATATCTCATCACTAGTTGTAAAACATACCATCTTCAATCCGTTGCATTTAAGAAGAAGAAGAAGAACAATAACCACAGCCTAGTCTCAACAGTTTCATTTCCCGGGCCCCTGTGCTCCATGTGGTGTCTACACCATCTTAGTCTGCGCGCTAGAATCAGAACAGTTACACGGCTAACCTCGTCCTAAACCTATACCGAAATCTTGGCTCCCCAACCAGCACCACTTCCGTAATCTTGTAGTTACATTTCCAACAAAGGGTGGTGCTGCTAGTCCAAGTCCAAGTTTTTATATGCCAGATGCAACATTCAAGTCAACCTTGCATGCTACTAAACTCAGTATTGTTACATCATGTGCATCTCCTACTGAATTCTCGCATATCTTTTTACTTGATGTGTTTTTTCAAATGTATGCGTCATTACATAAATTGGCTCCCCAAAGTTTTGCAAAGATATATCGACCGGTCAACGTTTTGATTAATTTACTTCCTAGGGCATTTTTCAACCTTCTAAGTGCTACTCCAACCTAATCCCGACTAGTCCATCATAAATGCTACGCTAATTCAATTCTAACATAATCCGTTTCCCTACATCAACAGGCTGCAACAAAAACGCCTTAGGCATCATAAACACAGGAATCATCTATTTCGGCCTGGATTTCTTGCTTTCCTCAGCCTTTGTGCCAATTCCAATTCTATTTGGTAATAAGAGTGGGGTGAAAGCCACAAGTATCTCTTTCTCTATCTGAACGACCTACTTGACGACCTCTTAAACGCTTCCCTTCCCGTATCTTGAAACCCGCATCTCAATCCAATATCATTCTTCTCGCCAACATGATGATGCGTGGCTTGCCTAGATGATGATGATTTCTACTTGCCATAGCCAGGCTTCGGCGCTTGTATGATGCAGCGCCTCATTTACAGTGGGCATTTTTCGAGGGAATAGCTGGTAGCCTATCTACCTGAATACATGCCCTATTATCAATCTTGACTAGCAAAGCAAATATTGATGTAGCCTGAATGCCTGGGGCTGCCATCTTTTCATGATTGCCGTTCAGACTTCACCCTTAACGACCTCATTCTCCAATCGCTCAAAAACACCACTCGCAATTAAACCAGAAAAAAAAAACCCTCTACATAGTCCCCCCCAAAAAGGAAGAATGTCAAAAACCGTATCTCAACTACTTTACCTACTCATCACATCTCTCCCGCACTTACCCAAACCTCCAACCCACTCCCTCCCGCCTTTCCGCCCCCAAAAGAACCACCCATCTCCCCGACATACCACCGACTTCATGCATCAACCATCACCTTTTGCCTCGCCGACTTCCCACTTCCCACCCCAGACACCCTCGCCAAACCCCCCCCCCCCCCCGGAAAAACTCAGCCACAAAAACCTAACACCCCAGGTATCGATAAGACTTAACCCACCCGCATCCGGACTGCTGTTATTGCCAAGCCACATCTCCCTCGCTTACCCTTGTGACGACGGGGTGGGCGGGCGGTTATGCATCGTCTGCGACGTCGAACGAATGTGCTGTTCAAGCCTCTTTTTTTTTTGCTCCGAACGCCGTTTTTTTACTGGATACTTGGTGGAGTATTTGTATCCGCTTCTTCTTTGGGAAGGGATGGGGGGACGGATATGGGGTTATACTGGGGGCTGTGTAGGAGGTGTGGGGTTGGGTTGGCGAGGCTGAGGATGTAGGCGGGATTGGGGGTTAAGGGTGGGTGCCTGGGAGTGGGAGTGTATATAACTAGTGTGAGGGGGTTTCTGGGTTAGAGGGATTAGGGGAGTTCGTCAATATTGTTGATATTCAGATTTAATTAGGTCACTGGATCGAAAACGGAATAGTTTGCACAAATGGGGTTCTTTGGGTTACTTTGCTGTTGTTGCTCGGGACGCCGGAGGAAATATTCAGATTCTGTTGTCAGATACCCATATGGTAAGATCTTTCGTATATCCCCTCCCCCTTCTTGCTTTTAACTAGTTTAATATGGCTAACGGTTACTACAGTACTGCATGGACAGCCGGCTCTTGATCCTATACTACCAACCAAAGAGCATGTTGTCGAGACTACTACGAAAGCCAAGGAGGAAATCACGCCTCCACCAGATTACTCGGTAAACTCCTTGTCCAAGGTGCAAACCGTTGTCTCCTCTGCCCCAGATCCCGATGATATCAGCCCTTCTTCCTCAGACACCAAGAAACAAGACGAAAAGAAGGACATTGCAGCTCGGCCCATCAAGCCATTGCCAAAGCGCCGTGACAAGGAAGCAAGATACTCGACAGAAGATGTGCAGCTAGGCTCATATATCAAGGCGACCAACGGACAAGAACCGAAGAGTCTCTTGAAAACACCACTATCAGCCAGTTCGTACGAGAAGAAAGAAGAGATCACCACGCAACCTTTTGTTTTCTCTGCCGGAAATGGAAGTCCGCAAGCCCAGGAGAAAACCACCATATCCTCTTCTTCTTCTTCTCCACAGAGAACCAAAAAACCACTCCCACTCCGCCCCAAACCCACCGTTCCAACCTACCCATCCCCCCCCTCGCTCTCCTCATCCCCCTCCCCCCCTTCGTCCCCCTTATCCACCACCCACCCCTCACGCCAAACAACCGCCCCAACAACCCTCACAACCCCCACCCCCATCACCACCACCTTCCCTGCTCCCCTCCCGCCTCCTCTCCCTCATTCTCCACCCAGCCCACCCCCAACTGCCGACCCAGGCGCCACCTGCCCCAAATGCACTTCGCCCAATAAACTCCTAACCACGCACTCCACCAACCTCAACAACTCCCGCCCTTACCGCCTCTGCACCAACCCTTCCTGCCGCTCCTGGAACGGCTTCGCAGACGCCCGCGGCCTCGATCCAAACGTAACCTGCTGGTGCAATCCCTCGTATTCCATGCGCCTGGTTGCCATGAATGCGCGGGATGCGAGGGGCAGGCGCAAGGCGTTTTATAGTTGTCAGTATAAGGCTTGTGGGGCGTGGTGGGAGTGCGAGGAGGGTGGCGCGGTGAAGTGGTTTGGGGGGGAAGAGGTTGGGCAGATGGTTTTGAGAGGGGAGATCTAGGAGGGTATGAAATGGGGTTTCTTTTCTTTTAAGTTTTGGAGAGAGAGAGAGAGAGAGAGAGGAGGGGGGTATGAGGAGTTGGGGGTTTCTTGGATGATTTCATTACTAGGAGTTTTTTTTTTAGTTTAGGTTGATTAATGAAGTTATGAATTTATTCTGGCGTTTTTTTTCTTCTTCTAAAAATGCAAAAGAATGGTAATTTGGTGTTCTTTCTTGCTTCGCTGAAGCCTAGTTAGGGGAAACTGGGGAGGTGAAGATAAGAGAAGAGAGAAACTAGTGCTACTTTGTATGTATCCAAAGTACTATCAAGGGTTGTTGCATTATATGATGTGATGTTGACTATTTCGCGTCATAGTCTAACTATGAAGAAAAAGTACATGAACTTGTTTAACTACCTCTTTAAAAATCGTTGTTTAAAGATATAATACCTTACATAGGTGGTGATACTTTATCACAAGATTCCAATACAGAACACCTAAACAGATGAGTAAAAAAACATAACATTGGAATGGCGGATAGTTTTAGTAACAAATTGACGGTGAAACTAAAATTCTGAGACGCAGCTGTAACTTCAGCTTCGCACGATATCCAGAACCACATGAGGTTTAAGAGAGGGCCCCTCAAGTGCTTGTCAAGTACCCGATCATTGACGTCCTTTCTCCTCTTCAGCACTCTATTCTGGCGCAGGAGGATATCGATATAGTAGTGTTCACACTCGGTACTAAAGTTTTCACTGGGAAACTCGTCGTCGTGGGATAATTCATCGAGGATACGCATGCGCGCGAGTTGGTAGATCGACCAGGTTTGCCAGCCGGGAATGTAGAAGACGATGCTTTGGCCGCCGCCAAGGCTGGAGATAGCAGCATCAAAGTCGAAAGCTGAAGCGTGAGGGTGGCGTAGATTGGGTTGCTTCACGTATGGCGTAACGTCAAAAGTTTCAGCGGGAGAATATACGGATCGAGACGCGTCAGATGAGGCGTGTTGGGCGACGTGGTCCCAATATGCGGCTAGGATGGATTTACGCTGGACTTGATAGCGACGGAGCAGGAAACCATATATAGCTACCTGTCTCGCTTCCCATCCCTTTACCGTCTCTATCTCTGGTAGAAAGTTGTCGAGTAACTTGTTGCGAAAGCTCTGCAGTAATGTTTCTTCGGTCAAAAGCCAGGTGAACATGGACTTCCAGTCGAATGACAATTGCCACGGGTCTGTTTCGGTGTTGATCTTGATACCTGGAACGGCGGTGTTGCTGACGATGCCACCTTTTGTGAAGCCCTTGTTTAGGGTGCCTTCACCGAGTCGAACAAAGATGGATTTAGGGTGTTCATTGTCCTGTGGCGGCCAGAGCACCGGGCGGGTGGCTCTGTGCAACCAGCCGATCAGTTCGCTCCCAAGAGCAGTGGTCATATACTTTTGGTCATGATCTGCCTCGAATACCGCATACTCGCGACTTGCGTCTCTCTCTCTCTTTTCGAACCTGGCGCTCTTTCCTTGAGGAGGACCAAAAACTATACACTCAGCGTCAGGGAAGCCATAGATGGATATGGCAAAAGAGAGCTTGGGTAACCAAAAGTCTCGGAAATGCTGCTCAACTGAAGCCTTGAGGTGCCGAGAGAGCAAGCGGAGATGAGTCCACTGGTGGGCAGGGTCGTCGTTGTGTAAGAGGACGAGCTCTGTCAGCACCATGTCAGTGAGCTCGCGGGGGAATTGGGCAGACAGTTCTGGCATTGTGTCCGGTTCGTGTTTTTGGTAGTTGGATTTGATTTTTACCAGTCAAACTGTCTGCCTCATTATAAGAGTACGGCAAGCCACGGAAAGTATACCATCCCGCTTTGCTTACTGCGTCATTAGGAAGCTTACATAGTGTATCGATTACTTCCCGTGTCGTTGAGGAACTTAATCTTACTGGATCAGCAGGGAACTTACCATCAACCCGGGAACTACATATATGCAATGCCAAAGATGACCGTAACAGTAGTCCCTGTCCACTACCAATCGCAGATCCAGTTTCACCCGCAAATCACTGCTAGCTCACGCCTTCATGCAACCGGTGTAGCCGGAGAATGGCAGCTGCTCCCAGTAGCGCAACTCCACCTCAAGCCATGGTCGATTCGCTGTATATGTCCTCTTCAGGCAGCTACAGCTGCAGTAGGCGTACCTTGATATTGAAAAAATCTAAAGATGATAAAAGTGGAGTCTGCGCATCGAACCATGTATAGCTTATAAGGATATTAGTACTTATGTGCCTTACAATAGGTATATTCTATATCGTTGACAGCTATTCTGAGTGGGAATAGCTGGTCATCTGAATTTCCCGGCCCCATCGGTTGTGTGAGAGTCATGGATGGTGTGAGAGGTTGAACAGAGCGAGATCAAAGCGGAGTTGATCTGCAACATACCTCGGCAACTTTTGACGCGGAGTAGCGCAACTGCACCCTTCATAGCCGCCAATGCGCCGCCTCCACACGATTTGTTAAAGTACCCCGGATTCCCCTCGTCTTGTTGTTCCAGAATCCATCTCCTCTCCCACACACGCAGCCATGTCTGTACCATACGACCGAGCCTTTGATTTGCTGAGCAACAGCCAGAATGGCCACATTCCAGCTTCCAAGCGCATTCCCGCCATTGCTCGGCCGTTTGTCAGCGAAAGAGCCGCAAAGACTCTCGACATTGTAAGGAGCTTGGAAAGCTAAGAACAATAAAGCTTGTACTAACCGCGGCCATAGGTAGAGAGGTTTGTTGAAGAAGAATGTATTCCCGCCGATGCCGTATACGCACGCCAGCTCGGCCAGAGCGTACAAGAGCGCTTCTCGGCACACCCATCCATCATGGAGGACCTCAAGAAGCGGGCCCAGGAGCTTGGACTATGGAACATGTTCCTGCCCAAGGCGCATTTCAAGGAGGGCGCTGGCTTCAGCAATCTCGAGTACGGGCTCATGGCCGAGTACCTGGGCAAGAGCCGAACAGCTTCCGAGGCGGTCAACTGCTCTGCCCCCGACACTGGCAATATGGAGGTCCTTGCCAAGTACGGCAGTGAGGCACAGAAGAGACAATGGCTCGACCCGCTGCTACAGGGCAAGATTCGCTCTGCCTTCTTGATGACCGAGCCTCAGGTCGCCTCGAGTGATGCCACCAACATTGAGATGAGCATCAAGCGCGACGGTGATCACTATGTCCTGAACGGCCAGGTTCGTCTTTGTATCCCCATTGTTCCGTTCTTGACTAACATGGTCTTAGAAATGGTGGTCATCAGGCATTGGTGACCCGCGCTGCAAGATCTTCATCGTTCTTGGAAAGACGGACCCCAACAACGCCGACAAGTACAAGCAACAGTCGGTCATTCTCGTCCCCAATGACACGCCTGGCGTTACCATCCACCGCATGCTTTCAGTCATGGGATTCGACGATGCACCCCATGGTCACGGACACGTTACATTTGAGAATGTCCGCGTGCCTGCCAGCAACATGGTGCTCGGCGAGGGCCGCGGCTTCGAGATTATCCAAGGCCGTCTTGGCCCTGGACGTATCCACCACGCCATGAGGAGCATTGGCTCTGCCGAGAAGGCATTGGAGTGGTTCTTGGCTCGCATCAACGACGAGCGCAAGAAGCCTTTCGGTGAGCTGCTCAACAAGCACGGCATCATGCTGGAGCGTGTTGCTCGATCGCGTATTGAGATTGACGCTGCCCGTCTTGCTGTGTGCAATGCTGCTATCCAGATTGACGAGACCAATGCCAAGGGTGCGCTCAAGGAAATTGCCGAGGTCAAGGTTCTTGTACCAGAGGTCAACCTCAAGGTGATTGACTGGGCGATGCAAGCCTACGGTGGTGCTGGTGTCAGCCAAGATACGCCATTGGCACAGATGTGGGCGTCAGGCAGGACGATGCGCATTGTCGATGGACCAGATGAGGTGCATCTCCTCCAGCTTGGCAGGAATGAGAACAAGAAGGGACCAGCACACAAGCAAAGGATCGAGGCGCAGAAGAAGAAGGGCGATGAGCTCTGCAGGAAGTATGGCTATGAGCCCCAAGATCCTCTGTATCTGAACAGGACGAGCGGAGAGGCTAGCAAGCTGTAGATGTGATTTTGTAATATCTAGAATCAAAAGCCTATGAGCATTGAAAGTGTGTAATGACGTGAGGAGTGATAACAAAGATGGCCAATTAAGATGGTATATATTTAGTGGAATGCTTCGGAATGATTCCGATTTTAGCGCCGAACGCGTGATTGTGAGGCTCAAGCACGCAAAGGACATGCGGCTCCCATTGCGCCAGACGACCGATGACATGTCACCTCAGAGTAGGGGGAACTCGATGCCTTCGGGCTTCTACTCCAAGTCCACGCCTAATCTACCAACCTTGCGCATGTACAATGGAGAGAGCCAGCAGGAAGAAAAGATTAAGTCTCCTCTCCGATCCGCTCCCCCTGTAGACCCGCTCTCGCCGGTTTCCAACAGTGCCGTCTCTGAGACGGCCTCTGTGGAAGACTACCAGGACGACTACAATGACGATGACGACGATGACGAGGGTATGTTTGCCGTAGAGGATATAGGCAGTGTGTCTTCGGGCGAGGAAGAGGAGCATGCGCCTGTATCTCGGGGTCTCTACACATCCAAGTCGTATACACATCTCCAGCATGTTCACACAGGGACCGCCCTCTTCCCGCCCTTTTACAATCGACCGCCGAACCCTCTACCGCCGTCGCCATCGCTCACCTCGCTCCTCCGCCCTGCATTCAGCCGGCCAACCTCGAGACCTACAACTCCAGACTCGTCCGATGTAGATACCTCCAGGGCTGGCTCGCATAGCAATGGGACGAGTACACCCACATCAAACACAACCAACCTCGCCAACTCGGCACGGCATGCACCAACAGTCCCGCGCGCCTCACCAAAGGTCCCGACGTACGAGTACTATGGCTTTGCGCTGTATCTGGGCAGCTCGGCCGCGTTCCTCATGTACATCCTCTGGGCTTACGTGCCAGCGCCAATGCTGCACCAGATGGGCATACACTACTATCCCAATCGATGGTGGGCGCTTGCTGTGCCCTGCTGGCTGGTTGTGCTGGTCATCTACATTTATGTTGCGCTTGCGAGCTACAACACGCGCTACCTCACGCTGCCGCTGAGCAGCTGCGAGAATTTGGTTGATGACAGCGCTCAGATTGCGGCTGTGGACAAGAAGACGGGCCAGATTGTACGCGATCCCCGGCTACTGACAGAAAAGCTTCAAGACAAGGACAAGGAAAATGGCAGCCGAGCAAGTGCGCCTCCGAGTCGCAGAGGCTCATTGTCTGCATACCAGTTCGATGCATCCATTGACGTGGATTGGAAGAGCCTGTGGAGCTTCGGCACAGACGCCGTTCTTGATGTGCCGATAGGTGGGGTTTGCGAAATACTGTATGGGAGCGACGAGTAGACTACATGCTTCGTCATCCTTACCACTACTTACCAGTCGGCCCACCCGATGAATTTCCTATCTGAGCCGTCCACTTGTGTCCTGGCTGCCACATGCCAACTGAACATTATTCGCGCGGAAAAGCTTGTCACGCTTCAGTCCGCACCCCACTTGCATGCCCCTCCCCGATTTCCCACCATTGCACGCAGCGCCTGCACGTTGGGCAAAGTGCCCCGCTACATATGGGCCGTCGTTGTTCAGATTGGACGGATTTACGGGTCGTGATATCCAATCTCTCCGGAGCTTACCTCATGTTTACTTAGCGGGGTGCATTTGACAAGTTCATGATAGAGTATAAGGTCCTGCTATATCCGCAGTGATTGTTTCCGCATCCCACCTCTGCTCACAAGCTTTGCTGCTCTGCTCTGGGTTCAATTGCTTTGCCTGTTTTCACGTACAGCTCCGGTCGTTGACAATCCTCCAATTGCCCACCATGAAGTCTGTCGCTGCTCTCTCCGCCCTCTTCATGCTGGCTGGTGCCGAGGCTGCTGAGACTGTCCTGGGTGCTTATGTCTTCCATCGCCATGGTGACCGTACACCAAAGGCTCTTGCTCCCACCAACCTAACCACGCTTGGATACGAGCAGGTTTACACTTCCGGACAGTACTACCGCTCACGTTACCTGTCCGGTGACTCCAAGATTCGCGGCATCAACGAGGACGAAGTAAAGTTGTCCCAGCTGCAGGTTCAAGCACCCGTCGACAATGTTCTCCAAAACTCTGCCATGGGTTTCCTGCAGGGTCTGTACCCACCTGTCCAGACTGTCTCGACTCTTGCCAACGGCCAGAATGTCCAGGCCCCCATGGATGGATACCAGCTGATTCCCGTCAACACCATTGAAACCGGTGCTGGCTCAGAGGATTCTGGTTGGCTCCAGGATGCTTCAAGCTGCCAGAATGCAAAGGCGAGCTCAAACTCGTACTTTGAAAGTCAAGAATACAAGGACCTTGCTTCAAGCACCTCTGGGTTTTACAAATCCCTCGTCCCTTCTATCAACGGCGTCATCAGCGACGACCAAGTGACTTACAAGAACGCCTACATCGGTATGTCCTCTTCTCTTACCCCTTGTCTCCAGTACTTTCTAACAACAAAAAGTCTACGACATCCTCCACGTAGCCGAAATTCACAACTCCACCATCCCAAACTCCGAGGTCCTTACAAACTCCACCCTCAACCAACTCACTGCCCTCGCCAACGCCCACGAATGGGGCCTCGCCTACAACGCGAGCGACAACATACGCGCCGTCGCAGGCATGCAACTTGCAGGCGAAATCCTTTCCTACATGACCAACGTAATCCGCACCTCTGGCTCCAGCAAACTCGGCATCCAATTCGGCGCCTACGCCACATTCCTATCCTTCTTCGGTCTCGCAGACCTACCCAGCGTGAACCAGGACTTCACCGGCGTAGTCGACTACGCCAGCTCCATGGCATTCGAGCTCTTTACCACCGCCGACGCTGGTGCTGGATTCCCCGCGGAAAAGGATCTTCAGGTGCGCTTCTTGTTCCACAATGGCACAGCGAGCAACGCGAGTGAACCATCCGTCTACCCGCTTTTCGGCGGCAAGTCGGATGCCGTTTCGTGGGCTGAATTCAAGGATAAGCTGAGCAAGTTCGCTATCACATCTACTGAGCAGTGGTGCGGCAAGTGCGGCAACACGGCGGGATCGTGCGCTGCGTTTGCGGCGAAGACTGAGGGTCAGGCTGAGAAGGAGGGTGCTAGCAGTGCGCTTTCGCCGGTGATTGGGGGCGTGATTGGCGCGTTTGTTACCCTGGCTGTTGTGTCGGGGTCGTTGGCCGCGCTGATGCTCGTCGGTGGGTTTAGGATTGTTAGTAAGAAGGCGTTGCAGAAGGGGATTACGGGGGTTAATGTCGAGCCCAAGGCTTAGAGTTTTGTGGAGGGGAAGTAGAGATGTGGGTGTAGGAGGACAAAGGTCATGTATCACGATGTTGATGAATGAACGAATGAATCGAATAAATTCAACGGCACAGTCGTAAGGATATGAGATTTTTATGACAAGACGTCTAGATAAATCAAAAAGAAGATTTTTCATAATCCCCATCTATGTCGTAAATTCCATACACCGACATGTGGGTATACATGCGTACATCAAGTGGTCGAAACCCAGTTCCCATACCTATTCATGACCAGAAACGCCCATTCCATGCAATCAATTAAAAAAAAAGCACAACAAGACCTCAAGCCTTGAGCACACTAAAATGATCCTTTGGCTTGACAATCGGCGCCCCAAGACCCTTCCTGACCTCATCCAACTGCTCCAATCCCGTCTGCTGCTTCCCCTTCTTGACCCTGCGCTTCCCTTGGGTATGATGATTACCCAAGAAATCATCCATGATGGAGTCGAAATCCGAGCGGAGCAAAGGCGGGGCCTGACTGCTAGACCACTGACTCATACCCGTCATACCGCTCATTTTGCTCATTCCCGAAACCATGGACGCGTCGTCGGGGAAGTCAAAGACGTCGTCGTTTGCGTATTCTTCTTCGATTTTGTCGAAGCGCTGGTCGAGGAGGGTGAGACCTTCTGTGCGGTGAAGGGCAGATGAGGACATGGAGTAGCCGGATGTGGATGTCATGGCACCCTTGCGCTTCTTCTTGCGGCCGCCAGAAGTCAGGGCTGAGGCGCCAGTGATGAAGGATTGCGTGTCTGCGGGTGCGGCGGCGGGCTTGTTGGGTTTGGCGGCTTTGACGTCCTCTTTGAATTTTTTGAATTCCTTTAGGTACGCCATGTCTTCTGCGTCTGCTGGGGCGGGCGCTGCATCTGGGGCGGGGAGGGATGAAGGGTCCGTAGAGTCCTCAGATGGTTTCTTGGCTTTGACTTTGGGAGATGATGCTTTGATTGTGTCGTCGGTTTCCCAGCCAGGATCTTCTTCGTCCAGGAAGCGATCCATTGGGTCTCGCTCATCGTCATCAAAGTCGGCACTGGCATCCCATTCTCTTTGGTCGATTTCGTAGCCATCTTGTGCTAGTTCGTTGAAAATATCCTCCTCATCGTCAACATAGGCCTCATCTTCGAGCGCCTCAAGCACTTCTCGTAATCTCGGGTCCATGTCGGGCTGGAAGCCTGCAAGGGCGTCTGGGATATTTTGCTGGTCCTGGTATGTTGTTTTGCGCACAAACTCCGAGGGTGCCATATCCTCACCGAAAAGGTCGCTCACGCTGCTGATGTTGCTGCTGACGCTCATATCGGCCTGGCTCTTGCTGTCATTCAGTGACGCATCTCGCAGCATGTCGGCCAAGTCCATCTTTTGCTTTCCCTTCTTTTCCTGCTTGGCCTCGATAAAGTAGGCATCGCCGCCACCGGTGCCCAGGTCGCGCATGTGCTGCATGTAGTCATACTCGGTGTCGTCGTAGAAGATGCCATAGTTGGCGGCTTCACCCTCGTTGTTTCGCACTTTGGATCCGTACTCGCTCTCTAGATCACGTCTTGACTTGATCTTGCTTCGTCCCGTTGCTGCCGAGTATTGCGACGCTCGCGAACTTCCTGCAGGCTCTGATACTTCGCGTTGGTTTGGCGCAACAGTCTCGGCAAAGACCATTTGCGGGGCGTCTTCATCGTGGATTCGCGGGTCATTCTGTGCGCGGTGCACGAGGCGAAAGTTTATCGCCGTCTTCTTATCGCTATTCGCGGGGTCAGCGGGGTATCGCAGCGCGCGCAATTTCTCTACTTACATGAACTTTCGGCGAGGCATCTTGCAGGTGTGGTGTAACTTTTTTCTGGTATGTGTTGAAGTGGCAAGTGTTGGCTGTGGAAGTCTGGGGAATCACGCTTACAAACGAAGGGTCTTTAGGCGTCGGGCGCTCAAAAAATAATTTAGGCGAGTGGAACCAGTGAATGACGTGGGGCAACTTTGGTTCCCAACTTTCTCTTTCGACTCACACCCCTCTTTTGGGATCACACACCACAACTACAGAATATTTGGAATTAGCAGTAAAAATGGTGCTCGCAAAGTCCAAGAAGAGCGTCGGGCTGGGCAACAGCCTGATGAACGATCGGTTCAGCAAGGGTAAAGGTGCGGATATGCGGAGGGGCAACTTTAACCAGGGAATCGAGCGAACAGGCCAAAATGGCGAGAAGGTATGTAATATTGTATACGAGTCTTTTCGCAGGCTTGCGCAGAATAGTGCAGTTGTTTAGAAGGCTCATAGTTCGTTATTTGGACCATGCTAATATCCGACAGTACATCACCAACGAGAAGAAGGAGGCGGCATGGGTAAAGATGCGCTCTGTCACTGAACAAGGCGCTCTTGACGACTTCCTTTCGACTGCCGAGTTAGCTGGTACCGACTTTACGGCTGAGAAGATGAACAACGTCAAGATTATCCACAAGGACCAGAAGAACCCATACCTCCTCTCGGCTGCTGAGGAGCGCAATGTCACTCGGAGACACAAGGAGAACAGGAATAGGTTGACAGTACCGAGGCGACCGAAGTGGGATGCACAGACTACGCCGCAAGAGTTGGACGAGCTGGAAAGGTCAGCGCTGCTACAGTGGCGAAGAGGCTTGGCGGAATTGCAAGAGAACAACGATCTACTCATGACGCCCTTTGAGCGCAACCTCGAGGTATGGAGGCAACTGTGGCGTGTTATCGAGCGATCCGATCTCGTGGTGCAAATTGTGGATGCGCGAAACCCACTCATGTTCCGATCTGAAGATTTGGAGGACTATGTCAAGGAGGTCGATCCTAAGAAGAACAACTTGCTGCTGGTCAACAAGGCGGATATGATGACACTAGAGCAGCGAAAAATTTGGGCCGACTATTTCACTGAAGCTGGTATCAACTTCAAGTTCTTTTCAGCTGAGCTGGCCAAGGAGATGAACGAGGCTCGTGGGTTGGCAGAGGATAGCGACGAATCGGGCGACTCAGAGGACTACTCGGATGAGGACGAAGACGAAGAAGTTGACCAGGAAGACGACGAACTCGCAAAGGAGGCCAAGAA